GAATTCAGTAAATATATCACAAAGTTCTTAAAGTGTAGTGTTTTCTGTTATGAGAACATACAAGTAAGTATAGTAGATCGATAAAAGAAATTCAAAAAGACAAAATAATAACTTGACTATGCTTTTTTATATTTCAGATGACTATTATGGAGATTGTTAAGACTAATCCTCCTCCCAAGACTTGAACTCTTCATCCTTGACTAACAAATATGGTTGAATTAGCTTGTCCCACCTGCTGATTAAAAATGAACCAACCCTTTTTCAGAAAAAATTCAATTAAAAATTTGTTCAGAAGGGTGAAAAATTAATTTGTCTCTGGAATCTATTCTGAGCAATTTCTAAGCTTCAACAGTAACAATATTTATTGTATATTATTAGGCCATTAGACAAAATAAAAGGATTAGAAAAAAATGTTAAAATCTTTTTTTTTTTTTAACATTTTTCTCATCATGCTTTTTGTCTAATGGCTTAATTATATGATAAATAATGTTATTAGCTTTTACAAATTTATTTCAGCAGTCTATTTTACCCTTATTCTGTAAGAAGCATACAGGAACCATCTTTCTCTACTATATATATATATATATATATATATATATATGTGTGTGTGTGTGTGTGTGTGTATGTATGTGTGTGTGTGAATTGAGATTAAATATGGATCAGAATCCAACAGAATGATAGGATAAAGAACAAATAGGAAATGTTTATAAATCTAATGTTTTGACTTTATTAAAGCTTCATCAGAGAATGGGATATGGAGAAAAAAAAAAGAAAGAGAAAGATTCTGCTATTAAAAAATTAAAAATTCAATTTTTTTCTTTCTTTCAGAATTTTCTCTCCATATCACATTCTCTTATGAAGCCATCATAAAGGTGAAACACTTTAGATTTATAAAGGTTTCCTATTTGTTCTTTATCATATATATATATATATATATATATATATATATAAAAATGGCATTAAAGGCAAGAAATTTTTTACTATAGACCATGATAAATTTTGAAACAAAAACATAAGTCGACCGGTTTCATCCCCTCATGTCAGAACTGTAAACGGGGAAACAAATTATGAGAAGAAAGTTTGTCGCGGATGATGTGAATGAATGGACAGGGGAAAAAAAAAATATAATAATAAAAGTTATAACACCAAAGATGCTAGAGACACAGCACTACAAGCCCAAGCAAACAGTCTCTTTGTTTACAAAGAGCGGGTCACCTGGACCTGATGAACAGCGTCACCAACACCTTCAGATGGAATAACGAGTGTGCTCTGGCCAGAACAGAGAACCAGCTCACACTAAAATCCATAGCAAAGGTCAGATTATTAATCAAGTGATCCACTCCCCCCTCCCCCCGTCCATTCCTTCACGTCATCCGTAACAAACTTTCTTCTCATAATTTGTTTCCCCGTTTACAGTTCTGACAAGAGGGGACGAAACCAGTCGACTTGTGTTTGTGTTTTAAAATTTATCATGGCCTATGGTAAAAAATTTCTTGCCTTTAATGCCATAATACGTTTTTGTACCGTCAAAAACATATATATATATATATATATATATATATATATATATATATACACGTATGTATGTCCTCTACATATACACCTGTTTTTCTGTATCACAGCTCATCAGTGCAGCTAGACATCCAATTGCTTCAAGTTGTGATCGAAACCCAACCTATTTGTCATCAGTCGGAGTTTCTACCCAAGCTATCAGCACCCGACAGAGGGAAAGGGAAATTAAAGTGTATTATTTTTTACGAATGTAAACAAATGCCAGACAGCCTTAATGCTCACTTCATTTTCAAAAAGTGTGTTGCATTAGCGGAGATGGCTGCTGTTTAGAATTACCCATCTCTCAACAGTGCTCAACCAAAACCTTTATATATATATATATAAAATTAGGCAGCAATTATTCTACTAAACAAAGAGGTCTGCAAAAGGTGAATCCCAATGGATAAACTCAATAGACACAGAATGTGTGTAAAGAGATAATTATATTTAATGTTTACTACACTAATTTCTTTCTAGAATTATTCCCCCTACCATTGCATATTTTTTTTTTTTGAGGGTGCAAAAATATGAACATTTACTGTTTTAAAATTGTTATAACTTTCTTTGTAGTGTGCATATAGATTTTAATTTTTGTTCACGAATAAAAGAATGAAGGAGTAATAATTTGATGTAATGCATTATGTTTTGCATGGATGTTTTGATGTTGAAAACAAAAAAAATTGAAATGCAAATATAAAAAACAAATACATTAAAAATACATAATTCAACGTACTTTAATTTTTATTACTCCTTGTGGAGTTCTGGGGGTGCAATGAGAAGCAAAATCGCTAAGAAGGCTTTTATTTCATCAAAAAAGTGATGCGTTTCCTCATGTTTGCATATGAGAAGACACCAGCATTTGTTTGCCATTTCTTTCACCCGACTCATATTTATCTTGTTGATGAATCTAGAGTAAAGCCTTCAAAATCATCATTGGAGTTCTAATCAAAGAAAAACTCCTGAATAAAGGCTTTGCTGGATATTGATGCAGCCATTTTTATTTACAAAAAAAAAAAAAAAAAAAAAAAAATCACAAAAAAATTAATGTGGGTTTAATCGGTGTTATACCTCATGTAGAGTCTAAAAGAATTCAAGATGGCGTTGGAAAATGGAAGTTTGACCTTGTTAACCTAACTAGGCAGCTTCAAATACCAGAAATAACAATTGACAAGTGTTATTGATAGCAACCATCTCAGGCGATAGAATGTAGCAGTAGGCGATTTCCGGCTTTAAATACCAGAAATAACAATTGACAAGTGTTATTTATAACAACCATCTCAGGCAACAGAATACAGTAGTAGGGGATTTCCAGCTTCAAATACCAGAAAAAGCCGTTGACAAGTGTTATTTATAGCAATCATCTCAGCTAACAGAATGCACCTATAGCAGCAAAGGGAAAGAATTCTACAGTAACAATTTTTGCTTGCAGTCGAGTAAAGGTTAAGAAATAAAAGCAAGACAAAAGTTGAAGGTCTTGCTCAGATACATTTTGCAGATTTTGAAATAGGGAAGAAACTCAAAAGTCTAATAATTTTCTTAAGATCCTGTACAACACAAAACTACACATTTTACATTCATGTAGGATAAATATATCTTGATGATAAAAAAGCAAAACCCATTATTCCCTACCAGCATCTCCCCAAGACTAAATGCTAAAGTAGCTACTGTTCATCAATGCATTAGAAATACAAATGGGTTTGTTTATTCACTATGTGTTCAACAGATCTGCTATAAAATATATAAAAAGGCAAATGTTATAAATGCAAAAGTGTATGTGCAAAAACTATGGCATGATGAAAAATTGTTCCTTTTTTTTTTTAATGCAAGCATTTCCAAGTTATTTTATGACATTTTGGGCCCTTAGCTATGGAAGCACACATGCATGGGAGGGGCAGATGTCCAAGAGAGAAATAAATAATGAAGGCATTTAAGATTTGAATCTTTAAGATTAAAAGATCTTAATCCCACACATTGAATTCATATATTGTTTGAACTAATGGTTACTTTGACAAAGCAGATTAAAAAAAGAAAGAAAAAGAGGAGCAGTCCAAGAGGAAGGTATTAAATGGTTTTAATCCCAAGGCTCAAATGGTTTTAGCCTTGAAAATTGTTTTTTTGAGATAATGGTTACTTAGAGAAAGCAGATTATATATTATATTAGGTATAGTTAAAAATGTACATTTACCTTTGATAAAAAAGATTAATTCAAGCATTTTGCAGAAAAAAAATTAAAAAAAAAAAAATTAAAAAAAAAAAAAAAAAAAAATATTTTTTAAAAATAAAATAAAAACTTAGAATGTTTAATTAGACAATCTGGTCTTGGAACATTTTCCCCCTACATAAAAATACACAAAATGCAATATTCCAAGATTGATTGATTCCCTTTAAGAAAAAAAGAAAAGATAATCAGGGAGGTAGTTACAGTTTTATACAATACTACATTTTTCTTATGAAAAATCTTTATCAAACTTGAAGCAAAAAAAATTAAATAAAAAAAAAAAAATTAAATAAAAAAAAATTAAATAAAAAAAAAAAGAAAAAAAAAAAAAGATTCACTATTACTAAAAGCAGTTAAAAGTACTACTAAATGAAAGTAAAGTGATAGTAAACACACACTTCATGTAATATGATGAAAGTATCAAACTAAGTCTTACATCTTTTTTTTATTGTTTGTGTATAATTGCCAAAAAGGCATTTTCATATTTATTGTTCTTTTTTTGTTCTTTTTACTGCTTATCAACCCTTTGCAGGTTATTTAAAGCCAGAAAATATTTTTAGATTTTAAGAATTGGGGTGGGGGCGCAGATAATAATTTAGTGATACCAGTCTTACTAATTAACCCATACATAGTAGGAAGAAGAGGTAGATTCATACCTTTCCCAATGGTATTTGTGCTGAAGTTAATATAACGAACCTGACTGGAATTGGAACTTGGCACACCAATTTCCAATTCTGAGCCATAATCCATTATACCCCTGCACATCCAAGTTTACAGTACCTGGTCAACCATCTAGGTACTGACCAGGGTTGATATTGCTTAACTGAAGTAATTGCATGGGAACTAGTGTTTTAATGTGATCTGGCCGTAAGGCATTTATCATTGAGACAATAGCAAATGAAAACATTTTTTCTCACTTTATTCCTAAAAAAAAATCTTCAGATAAGTGAGGTAGACATGATACAGCTTCCTTGCCGGCAGCTAAATTCCAATAAAAGCTGAGTGTAAGCAAATAATTGAAATATTACCTCAGTACTGACCCCAATGGTTGTACAGCTAATATTAAACCAAAGCTGAATTAAGCAGTTATTTAAACTTTGGCCATGTTGGATAAATGTTCCAGTAACCAAGGTACATAACAAGGGCACAGGTGAAATCTGCAATTATCAGAGATAAGGAGAAGAATACAAAAGGGTTGAAATAAGCAGAACTGTAAAATAGAAGTAAATACTTTTTTGGCTTGGGACTGATGTTTTCCACCATATCCTTCAGTTGCTCCCTCACTGAGTGGGCATAGTTTGGCTCGCCTCGGTGAAGGTAGCGAAGATTAGGACAGGTCTGCTTGTCTGCACGAGTTGGAGGAGGGGATTTCTTGTATTTCTTCTGATCACTTTTGATCTTCTGATAAGACTCTCGTCGAATCTTGAAAGAGAAAAACAAAATAAAAAGAATGCTATACTCTTGAATTTTCATTTATCAATCAAAAAAAAAAAACAACAAAAAAAAAAAATCAACCCCCCCCACACACACACATACACTTTACAACCCAATCAGAGCTTGAGAGTGGAGGTCAACAGAGCTGTAGGGTTGTTGGGTGGGAGGAGATAATCTGCTTTGAATATCATTCAAATATTTTTTTAAAATAATTTCATCTCAAGAAAGGCAATAAAGCCACAAAGATACAAAGGATTACTGAGGATGAAAGACAATTGATTGAAAGAAATTGATTCATTCATTCATTTTCTATGGCTTATCAACAAGCCAGAAAATATTTTTAGATTGTAAGATATTTTTTTTTTTTTGAGATAATAATGGTTTAGTGATACAAGTCTTAGTAATTAACCCATAGCTGGAGGAGAGAAGAGGTGGATTCATACCTTTCTCAAGGTTATTTGCAAGTAAGTGACTATAATAAACCCAACTGGAATTGGAACTCAGCTTAATGATTAACAATTCTGAGCCATTATCCAATATACCACCCATATATTCAAGCTTACAGCAACTGGTATTCCCAAGCAGTCACCATCTAGGTACTGATCAGGTTCAACGTTGATTAACTTTAGTGATCGTACAGGAATCAATGTTTCAATTCAATGTGATATGGCCATAAACTTTCTTTTTTTTTTTTTAATCTTTTCACCTCTAGCAAGGCAATGAAGCCACTAAGATACAAGGGTTTACTAAGTGTGAAAGACAATAGCTTCTAGGAAAGTGTTATTTACATTTAAATGATTAAACAGAGGTCTATTCTATTCATATTACATGCTTGATTCAGCATGGCTACTTTGACTGTAACACTATTTTGAGTGGCACTCAAGTCTGGATTTTGGACAAATTCAATCTGGAAAAAGACAACTAGGCACTCTTGCCTTGTTTGTTGTTTGGCAACCAATCTAGATTGATAATTTTGAATTCAATAGGAAATCACTCAAATATCTTTCCTAGGAATAATTATGGCAATATATAATTTGAAGATATTAAAGAGAAAGGAAGTTGTGGAGAACTGTGACTGTCTGAAAAGACATGGCAATACTCTGGTGAAATATCACTAGCTATCAGGGTATATCAATACAGAACAAATTATTGTTTTTATGTCTATGTTGGTTTTAATACCCATAGCACATGAAGCAAAGTATCTATGCTTTCTTTCGTCTGGCTGACAGACATACCCAAGCCCTGTACATCAGGCTTTAAGGAGAAATCCCTAAACACATCATAGATACTCTTGTAGAAGTATATGATGTTGAATAGAAAGTTGTATGATCTCTGTTTAATAATTTAAAAGAAAATAACACTTTCCTTCCATCTATTGTTTTTCATCTTCAGTAACTCCTTGTATCTTAGTGGCTTTATTGCCTTGGTTGGTTGATTTAAGAGTGTCTTAAAGAGTTAAGTGAAACATGATTGACCAACGGAAATCAAACAGCACAAAAGTAAATATACCAGAATTTTTCTTTTTTTCTCCATATCATTCTTTGATGAAGCTTTAATAAAAGTGAAACATGTTAGATTGATAAACATTTCCTATTTGTTCTTTATCTCATCATACTCTCGGATTATGATCCATATTTGATCTGTATTTGAGCCCAACTCATAGATAGATAGATAGATAGATAGATAGATAGATAGCTGAAGCTTAAATAAAAGTGAAATGTGTTAGATTGATAATAGTTTCCTATTCTTTAACTCATCATACTGTTGAATTCTGATCTGTATTTGATCCCAACTCATAGATAGATGAAGCTTAAATAAAAGTGAAACATGTTAGATAGATAAACATTTCCTATTTGTTCTTTATCTCATCATTCTGTCAGATTCTGATCTGTATTTGATCCCGATAGATAGATAGATAGATAGATAGATAGATAGATAGATGAAGCTTTAATAAAAGCGAAACATTAAATTGATAAACATTTATTTGTTCTTTATCTCAACATACTCTTGTAAATAGAGAACTAACAAGACACAAATAGGGTTAATGAGTTACTAATGTAGGGTTGCCATTTAGTAGGTAAATGAACACTATATGATATGATTATCATTCAATAAATGTCATTCACATCTCAATGATTAAACCAGTGATTGCCAAACTTTTTTTTTCTTATCCACATTTTCAGAATGAAAATTTGCTTGCACCTCAAATGTCATGTGATAAAAAGTACATTCCAAAATAAAAACTCACAGATAGGATTAAAGGTAGATAACCACGGATTCAAAGTCAAAACATTATCATTGATAACTATCTCCTCCAATTTGCAGACCCTAGTTACTATATTCTTAATATTTGATATAATAATAATGTAATTACAAGTAATGCATAATAATATTTTAAATTTTGAAATCATATTTATTTTTGGCATATGAATTATTTAAAACTGTTTCTAAATCTTTGTCTTTCAATCATTTCACCTCACCTATGAGGCATCCTGCAATGTTTGGGAACCACTGGATTAAACAATTAACAATTTTAACAACTGTACTTATATTGCTTGAGCACTAGCTGAAAATGGACACCCAAACTCTGTAGATCAGTATTTCAAGGATTGATTCATTCATTTTCTACGGCTTATCAACCCACCACAGGTTATTTAAAGCCAGAAAAATTTCTTTTTTAAATAATGGTTTACTGATGCAAGTCTTACGAATTAACCCATAACTTGTGGGGAGAAGAGGTGTATTCATATCTAATCAGAATCTGATAAACAAGAAATTATGAAGAGGATATGAAGTGGGTGATCAATTTTATATTACTATTCATATATAAACGGATCCCTCAGCTACTTTAATACATTTATATTTGTGAGAATGTAAATAAAACTTAAAAAGCATTTAATTTTTTTATAGAACAAATATCCAGGAATATACACAACAATAACAACTACAATAATAATACTAAGGATGATAACAATGAGATATATATATATATATATATATATATATATATATATATATTACAAGGTGACTTCATATCTCGAAAAGGACCTCCAATTGGTTGTGAACAGGGGCAGGGATTGACTGGTTAACTTTAATGCCTCAAAAACAAAACTGCTCTCTATTAATCACCACAGAGATCCTTCCCTGCCCCCCATTAGAATGTCTGACTCTCAACTTCTAGAGAGCATATCTCTCTGGCTGCTCGGTCTCACATTGTCTGCTGACCTAAGATGGAACAAATGCATTGAGTCAATAGCTTCATCCACCACAAGGAAAGTTGGCTCCCTGTGCCGTGCTAGGAAATTTTTCTCACCAGAATCAATCCTTCATATCTACAAATCAACAATTCGCCCTTGCATGGAGTATTGCTGCCATATATGATCTGGAGCCCCTTCTGTTTGCCTCGGGGTTCTTGATAAGATCCAGAGACGGATATGCAATGCAATTGGCCCTGACCTAGCATCTCATTTGCAGTCACTCTCTCACGGACACGCGGTCACCTCTGTCTTTTTTACAAATACTTTCATGGAAATTGCTCCGATGAGCTGCTTTCGCTGGTTCCCAGGCTTCATGAATTCAAGAAGTCCTACGAGACCGGCTTCCTGCTCTCACCCTTTCACTGTTGAAACTGTTATCCGTCTCTTCTACTCCAATAGCTTCATATCTCGCACCTCTCACCTGTGGAACTCCCTTCCCTTTTCCTGTTTCCCTGATAGCTATAATCTCACAACTATTCAAATGTAATGTCAATAGATATCTCTAGTTGCCTTGATCTATCCACTATCCTTCTCTTCATCCTTTCCTCTATCATTCCTATCTGCTATTGCTCCAAATCATATGTAACCCCTTGCGTGCTAGTGGCTTCCAGCCTTGCTTGGGGTGAAATGCTTATATAAAAAAAAAAAAATACTCAGCCTGATCTTAAAGGAATGTGATTTCATTTTGGTAACAGGAACCATTATTTGACACCAATAAATGATCGCTCCCCACAAAGTTACCATAACAGAATATCAACCACACCTGAGGGGAAATGCTCTGCTTATAGAAAATAGGAAAATTCTTTTTTGTGACTAATATTTGCTGATTACTATTCAGATATTATATATTTTTTTGATTATGATAGAAATGACAATGTTTCAATGAATAACAGATTCCATTCCCATGAATTTTATTTTTGGTTAAAGGTTAAACCATTAAATCGTTCCCTACTCCTATTTTCTCTCTCTTCAATAGCGTAAGACCACGCCCCATTTTTTTCAAGGTCAACTTAAAATTTAAGGTTTTAAATTTTCAAGGTCTAGCTACTTTATTTTTTTTCTTTTTTAAATGTGTGGTTATTTATCAAATTGTCTATCTGACTTTATAATTTAATAAAATGTAGTTGGTCAGATGAAGTGTATATGTGTGTGTGTGTGTGTGTATATATATATATATATATATATATATGTATACATATAAATATAGATAACCAGACTCGTTTCGAAAAACCCTCGAATTTTTGATTTGCTAATCAAATCAATCTCGAGGGAGAAAAAGGTTTTAAAAAAAGAAAGAGCTACAAACATGAACTTCTGCCAACAAGAAAATCGCACAGATGCAGGTCTGAAGCCCAAAGAAAAAACCCCGATACGAGTAAACAACTAACTAACAAAAGAGCTCAATACAACCGTAGAGCAGACCTAGATACACCTAGTGAGCCAGACAAACCTTTCACCTAAACTTTCCCTGACGATCCGTTTAGGTGAAACCTAGGTAGGTTTGTCTGGCTCACTAGGTGTATATATATATATATATATATATATATATATATATATATATAACACAACAAAATCCAAAATTGCCTCATATGGGTCTGGATTTATTTCAGCCAACGTAAAGTACATCAGTCTTATTCACCCCCCCGGAAGATGGACTGAAATAGATCTAGATCTATACCTATATGAAGTAATTTTGGATTTTGTTGTGTAATTTATATGCTCTGTTATAATACACTGCGCTCTTTTTGTGGATCAGTTTTAATATTTGATATCATTAGGATCCACTCAGATAATATACCAACAGATTTATTACCTGTAGTATATTTTAGCTTTCACAGTTAAATTTCTATTTCTGACACAAACTTAGTCCATGCCAAGGTTGATGAGGAGACAGACAACTGGTATTGTCATCTGCCGAAATAGTTTATTCCCCATATAAGTTGATTTTGGATTTAATTGTTTATTAACTATTTGCTCTGTTATAATAAATACATTGAGCTCTTTCTATGGATCTGTTTTAATATTTTATATTACTAGGATCCAATTGGATTTGTCACCTGTACTCTCTCTTTATACATACATACATACATACATACATATATATATGACTGTTGAAAAAAATGTATAACCAATTATATGATGACTACTTAAGTCTTTTCCTTATTATTTATTTATTTATATTACTATGTATATAAATTTGTACATTGAGCACTTATCGTGGAGTTAACTTTTTAACATTTTTATATTAAAAAGACCTCATTGGTATAATCCCTACCACCTACAGATTTAGTATTACACACACATATATTTATAAGCCTAAAGAGCCAGGTAAACCTACCTAGGTTTCACCTACATGGATCATCAGAGTATACTGGCCAGCATACAATGACAATCCGTGTAGGTGAAACCTAGGTAGGTTTACCTGGTTCTTTAGGTTTATATTAGGTTTGCTCTACTTAGTATATTGAGCACTTTATGTAGTTATTTTTACTTGTTTTGGAGGTTCTTTTCTTTGGACTCGAATTCTGGATGATTGTTTCTGCCTCAATTTCATGTTGTTCTTTCTTTTTTTATCCCTCATTTTTTCTTGGGCATTGGTTTGTTTAATCACAAGCCGAAATATCTAAGGTTTTTCCAAATGAGCACCTATACATATATATATATATATATATATATATATATATATATATATATATATATACATACATACACACACACCCTGTCGACTGTTGGTTCATCTGCCCTTTGAGAAGTCATGTCTTCAGCTTTCTCACTAATGGGAAAGCTGGTTTATATGCTAGCCACCTGTCCCATGTGTCAGGTTGTACTAGGTTACATGTTACTAGTAGCAGGCCTAAGGCTGATCTGTCGAAAATATTAATTCTTTAATTTCAAAAAAATTTTCATAATATAAATACTGTGTCTAATTAAGCCCTGGTTCTTATTTGAAGAGTTATCTACAAATGTAAACTTTGAAACCACTTTTCTCCGTTTCTTACAAGCAGACCATTTTTCCTCAGTTGTTCTAAATATCACAAAAGTAGGAGAGATTATGATGCTTATAAATTTCTTTTTTTTTTTTTTTTGTTTCTTTTGCTTCATGCTACCTTGGATATTTTTACTTTTAATCTATATATAAAATTCTGTGACTTCCAATAAGAAATATTTACACATGGCCAGTTGTATGTTGCATGCTCAAGAGTAAAAAATCCTAAGTATTTATTTTTTGCTGTTAAAAAGGAAAAAAAGAAATTTTCTTAAAAATTATTGTTTACTATGAAGTCCTATAATAAAATTTAATTATCAAACTGCAAAGTAGGGTTTTTGTCAAAGTATTTTTCCTAAAATATCAGCTTGTTCAAATTTCACTGATTGGTTTATGAAATTGAACAACATGTAGAGTTTGTAAATTGACAAGAAAATGTTAGTGATAACTTCAACAATACTAAATACTGTGAAGATTTTAACATGTGTCAGCATGTTGCAAAAAAAATTCTAGTGCTTTAAAAAGTGTAATTCTTTTATATGCAACATTTAATTGTACTAATAAAAATGGATAAACTTTTTTCTATTTTTACTTCTTTCTTTTTCGATAATTTCTCTAAGTCATTCATTTTCAGTCGTGTCCGAGTTGCTGAAAAGTTTTTTTAAGGAAAAAATAATAAAGCAAAAATCAGAACTTACTTTAGAATTATGTCGAGATGAGTTGAAAATGGACAAAGTTAAAGGAAGGAGATGGGCTTCTGTCGTAAAAATATAATCATCTACATTAATTATGGAATCTCCTTCTTCAGCAAATAAAAGATACAAATATTTGAATGTCTCAGCCAGAACAAAAGAATCCATTCTGGAAAAAATAAAAAAATAAATAAAATAAAGTTTGGTTACCAAATCAGTAGCATAATAAAAAATAAAATAAATAAAAAAATAAATAAATAAAATGAAGTTTGGTTACCAAATCAGTAACATAATAAAAAATAAAATAATAAATAAATAAATAAATAAATAAATAAAATAAAGTTTGGTTACCAAATCAGTAACATAACAAAAAAAATAAAATAGTAAATAAATAAATAAATAAAAAAATAAATAAATAAAATAACGTTTGGTTACCAAATCAGTAACATAATAAAAAATAAAATAATAAATAAATAAATAAATAAAAAAGAAATAAATAAAAAAAAAAAAATATTATTTTCAACTTTCCAAAATACAGCGTGAAGCAGAAATAGCTCCCACATTTTAAACTGTCACCTGTGTGGTGCTAGTGAACTAAAGTAAATGGCAATGTTACTTTCATCTACCTAATATCTTAACATTTTTTTTTTCAGATACGATCTAGTTTTGGACTGGTGCACACCATGCGTTTCCTGTTGAAATGTTTTTTTTAAGATTGGGGAATCTGTAATTACTACAGAGAGAGCTTTTTGTGCTTATTCCTGTTACGTCAGAATGCTGTTCCAGATAGAAAAATCGATACTATTATGGGTTGAAAATTTCAGGGCTACAGGTTCAGCAGTTGAAGTAAGTCGCCTGGAAGATCTCCAACTTTTGGATTATAGAAAACTTTAGAAATCATCTACAACAGTATATGGTGAATAGAGGCCACCATTTGAAGGATCCCATTTTTAAAACCAAATGAATAAAAACTGTAGTCCTTTATTTAAACAATCGTGAAATATTTTTTTTTATAACAGTTACCTTGCTCTTCTTGTCAACCTTTAAAATGTGAGAGGTATTTCCTGCCCCAGAAAAGAAAAAATAGAAAAAATAGAAAAAGAAAAGAAAAAATAGAAAAAGAAAAGAAAAAATAGGAAAAGAAAAGAAAAAATAGGAAAAGAAAAGAAAAAATAGGAAAAGAAAAAAAAAAATAGAAAAAGAAAAGAAAAAAGAGGAAAAGAAAAAAAAAAAATAGAAAAAGAAAAGAAAAAAGAAAAAATAGAAAAAGAAAAGAAAAAAGAAAAAATAGAAAAAGAAAAGAAAAAAGAAAAAATAGAAAAAGAAAAGAAAAAAGAAAAAATAGAAAAAGAAAAGAAAAAGAAAAAAAGAAAAAAAAAAAAAAAAAAAAAAATAGAAAAGAAAAGAAAAAAGAAAAAAAGAAAAAAAAGAAAAAAAAAAAAAAAGAAAAGAAAAGAAAAGAAAAGAAAAAAAAGAAAAGAAAAAGAAAAAAAAAGAAAAAGAAAAGGAAAAAAAAAAAAAAAAAAAAAAGAAAACAAAGTAAAAAAAGAAGAAAAAAAAAAAAAATTTTTTTTTTTTTTACTTATTCATTCCAACCCTTTCTTTGGTCTCATTCTGTTTTTCTTCCATGCATTCAGTCTTTGAAAAGTAATTTTTTTCTTCTAATCTAATCTAAAATTTCTATCTCTAAAACATCACAAAAAAAAAAAAAGAAAGAAAAAAAAAAAGAATTTCAAATTATTCAATGAACAATTATTCAGTCTTACAAAAGAGAAATTGTATTTGATAACAGAAAACAAAGGCCAAAGATGGACATGTTAGATGAGTCAAAAAGTTTTTATTTTTTTAAAGAATTCCTGAGAAATTAACAAAAGATGTTAATATTCAAAGATATTAAGAGGCCTTATCTTAACTTTTATTTTTCATATTTTTATATGAGATACAGAGACGAGATGTTGTTATTATTCAATTAACTTTCCTTATTATTTAGGTTTGGACAAATGTCTTCATCTTTGCTGTTATTATCAAAACATTTCAGCTGTTTTGCCTTTTTGCTTTCATCAGGTGTCTTAAAAGTAAGGCTGGTGGAACACTGAAAAGCTGGGGCAAGACAATGAAATCAAGCATGGCTGATCCTGTATGGATGAGAAATGATAGTCACCAATCCCTGTGGAATTAAGTAAAATTACTAGATAGAGAAGAATGAGGAAAGTCAGACAGACATCTAAAGGAATCAGTGCATATAATGAGGGCCTCCTTAATAGGCCATGCATGGAAATAAATACCATATGGGAACTATAAATAAAGACAAGGCTTCAACAGCAGCAATTGTAAAAAAAAAAAAAAAAAAAAAAAAGAGAAGTGTGATAGGGATATCTTGTCCTTTAGTAATGCTCAGTTATTGCTTATCTTGTTTCCACTGAGCCTGAGTGCACTACCTGGTTCCAAGATTGAACTCACAATTAACAAACACTTCAATCCACTAGGTTTCTGAACCAAGAATTTTGAGCCTTAAACCGATTGTTCTTATTGCCTGCCTGCTGCTGAAGCCTTTTTCTGAAGCTTGGCTCTCTTTGCTACTGTTTTTCTTTTTCTTTATTAGTGGCTCCCATATGATATTTATTTCCATGCTAGGCCTACTAAGGAGGCTGTCATAGACACTGATTCCTTCAATCTGATTCTCCAGTGTTGTTCTGTCTGGTAGCTTTGCTTCATTTCAGGAGTTTGTGACTACACTTTTCACATGATCAGCAATGTCTGATTTCATTACCACTAATTTTTATAGGAAATTTTAGTGTTTTTTTTTGCAGTGAAAAACACATTCATTTAAAAATTCTTGCAAAAATCAAATAATTATTGGGTTTTAATGAAACTTTCAGGACTTATTCACAAATGAATTAAATTATTTCAGAAATATGTTGTTTTTTTTTTCAAAAATTTTGATAAATATATCCTCTTTTTTTTTTTTTACATTTATTTAATTTTAAGAAAAATAATTTTTTTGTCACTTAATTTTTATATTAGTTCAAAGCAAAAGAATTTAAATTATTGATTTTTTATAAAACAGGAACACCAGTTACCAAAAATCTGCTCTGGATCGTAAAATAAAAATGCAATAAAACTAAGACATTATTTAATTAGAAAAGTTTTTAATTGCTTTTTGAAATAAGATATATTATGGACACTATTGTCTTAAGAAAAATTTTTTTTGATGAATAATGAACTTTTACAAGAATTATTTTCATTTTTTTTTAAAATTTTAATTATAATAATTTATAAAGTTTTAAATCTTAAAATTCTGTATTACTTTGTGTCCTTAATTAAAAACTATATTTTCTAATCATAAATGGAAAAGCTTAGTACAATTCATTGACCACCAATTTTTTAAAAAGAATTGGTTTTGTATATGTATAAATGTGCCAGTTTTTTGTAGATATAGTTGTTCAAACACAACAATATCAAACAATAAGAGTGATAACTATAATAAATTTAAAGTCAAAGTATCTAAAATTCAATATTTTCCTAAATTTTTGAAGATTACTGAGTACATAAAATTATATAGTCACTTATGTTATTATCCTCAATTATTTTTGTAGATATATCCTCCATAGAAAAAAGCCGTCTGTTTTTCAAGCTGTCAACATCTTAAATAAACAGCTACTGCCATGTTAAAAAATGCATTTCTGTGATATTTTAAACTTTAAGTAATATGTTTCAAATCAGATTAATTAAACTTTAAATCAGCAAATATGCCACAAACAAAGTTTCAGAAAGTATGTGTTATTTTTGGAAGACTTTTTAATAAAAAGAATTACATTCTGATGAAGGATGGCTAAAAATGGCTTGAAAATCAGAAATTTCAAAACTACAACACATTCCTGTCAATTTAAATTAATTTTTATATACAGCAAGGTACTTTGCTTTGATTAAATTTAATTTATTAGCCTCAAATGAAAACTAAAATAAAAGCTCCCAAAAAGAATTTTCATTTTTATAACTTCATTTCAAACCTTAGGTATTGCGTTTTGTTAACAGTGCCTGTTATATTATATGTTAGCAATGTTGAATTTACTGTATTTGAACTTCAATCTTCCATGAATCTCTCACGTACATTCATATCTGCTCATGGCGTATCAAATGTAAACAAATGACGTCACACATTATGAAATGGACAAAGTTCGACAATTATTTTAAGACAAATCGGTAAAGGCATGTCAAGCTAAATGACGGTCCCGTATAGGATATAGGTTCGAATCCTGTCGGAGGACGAATATTTTCGATCAAAATTTCTCGGACATTCAGGCTGGTAAATGTTGTTTAATACTGTTTATTATAAACAGTGCATTTACTTAAATATATGTATCTATAAAAAGAATGTTAAACATAAAAATGTCTATATATATATATATATATATATATATATATATATATATATATATATAAAAAATTACAAAAAAATTATGCAAATTCCAAAGAAATTTATAGATCTCACTTACTGGTCTTCATGATTTCCAATTGTAACATCCTTGATGGAGGCATAACCACAAGGAACCCGAGCATGTTTATTGAGGTTCTCTATTACTTTCTTGCCCACTTCCAGATAGTAGGGATCATTGGTTGCCTGAAGAAGAAAAGAAAATCAAGAAAAATTAACTCTTATCTACAAAGTATGTGGGTTACCTACCCTTTAAATTCAGACATTAAATAAATCAGAAAATATTTTTTCTTAGCTGAATAATTTTAATGCATCATATGTGATCATCAGCTGTAATTCATGTTTAAAATTATTTTATGTATTTTATCATAAAAAATATATTTCTAACAGTAGTCATGTATTAAAAAATATTTAAGTGAACATTTTTATCCTGTTTTTGTACAATCTTTGTCATAATGAGTTGTAATAGCCCTATTCAATCAATAAAGCTTGCAATGAATACTGACAATTCCAGTTTCTATCATAAACACCAACAGTAATGTATAAAATATCCTTATTCTGTCAGTAATATTTTAATTCCTGATCATCAGCAATACCTTTAAGATTTTCAAGTCATTTCAATAATAAGGTTACATAAAGAGCTAATATTAAAATAATTTCTAATACATTTCTATAGTAAAATCATTTACAATTTCTATAGATGGTTTTAGTATTTGCTATACCACTAGATATGGAATCATTAGAAGAAATGAAAGTTTGGATGGATTTGTTTAATAAATCCTAGCCATAATATTCCAAGTTCCATAAAGAGCTAGTAATCAAATAATTTCTAATTCATTCCTTTAGTGAAATCATTTCCAATGAATTTCTATAAATGCTTTTAGCATTTGCTATATCATTAGATATGGAATCATTAGAGGGAATGAAAGTTTGGATGGTTTTGTTTCATAAATCCTAGCCATAATATTCCAGGTTCTATAAAGAGCTAGTATTCAAATCATTTCTAATGCATTCCTATAGTAAACTCATTTGCAATAAATTTCTATAGATGCTTTTAGTATTTGCTATATCACTAGATATGGAATCATTAGAGGGAATTTCTTTCATAAATCCTAGTTATAATATTCCAAGTTACCTAAAGGACAAATATCTCTTGTGTATTTTTATATGTGCTATTAGTATTTATTGTGTGTGTGCATTTGTATATTGGAATAAATATTTTGCTCTATTTGCTCAATAAATCCTATCATTGAAATCAAATGTGACCGAAAAAGTTAGTATCCAAATAAATAATTTCCCTTTCTGTCTTGTAACACCTGGGTAACAGAAACAACAGTATAAGCTGAAAAGTAGGAACCTTTGAAGTCATTTTAATGACTCTTGTTTTTAAATGGAATATATTTTCTAATCAATGTAGTATTTTGAATAAACAAACAATTTAGATTTTAAATTTGATCATCTTGCCATCAGTGAAGTGACGGGTACCAAACTAGTATCATAAATACCGGTTCAAATAAACTAATCCTGTATTTAAACGGAATATATTTTCTAATAAATGTAAGCTTTTAAATGGACAACCAATTTAGATAAATGCTGGATCAAATAAATGATTTCTGTATTTAAACTTAATATATTTTCTAATAAATGTAGTATTTTAAACAGGCAACAATTTAGATTTGAAATTTAAGCATCTTGCCATCAGGAAAGTGACAGGTACTAAACTAGTATCATAAATGCTGGTTCAAATAAATGACTTCTATATTTAAACATAATATAAAGCACAAGTAAATATACAAACTGACCTAATTCATTATACCATTCTTCGCAGTACCTCAAAGATGTAAGCAAGCTCATTTTATACACAATATTCCTATCTCCAATCCTTCTTCCAAGAAAATAAATCCTTGCAATCTTTAACCTTCAATGCACCCCCCCAATCCTGTGTCAAAGTTAGTTTCTCTCTCGTAAGACACTGCTATTATTTCAATTACCTTCATTCCTCAGCCATGTCTGTATTAAAAAGCGATGATTAGAATCTTAATAAAACCTAAAGATATGAAAGTGAATTTTTACATTTTCTTTAAGAATTGACAGCAAAATAAAAAACTTTATTATTACATTGTTTATTGACACCATTTATTTATTATGTTATTTATTGGAATGGTTGGCAAAACATCGGCTAATTCTCAATCAATTCAAACTTTATAAAATGATAAAGATTTCCTCATAGTTGGGTCACATATTTTATTAATTTATTAAATGTTTATAAATTTATGAAATAAAAAAAAATTGTTTTCATATTTATTTCTTTATAAATTGGTAAATGATAAATATTGCATTAGTTTTAGTACAATTGTATCAGTTTTTAAAATGTTGTAAATATAAAATTATTCTTATAAATAAACAATCTAATAAAGTTTAATATTTCTGTAGTAAATTCTCAAGAACAAAAGTAAATGTATAAATTAACTTTCATAAGGTTTAGCTTTTATTACAATTCTAATTATCACTTTTTAAAACAATAAACATTGCCAAGGAGTGAAGGTAGTTAAAATAATAGCAGTGTTAAGGGAAAAACCATCCTTTTGAAACACTGTTTTTTGACACTAATGTCAAATGAGTTGAAACAAAGATAAAGCTGGTTTCATTTAAAAGAAAAATATCAAATAATTTTCTCAAAAACAGTATCAAGAACCTGATATGTTGGAGTAATTACTCAAGACAGACACTTACCTTGTAAAGGAAATATGTTGACTCTACAAATTCAGGTCTTAGAGGATGCTGACCCCAATGAATCCTGAAGTCTGTGGTAAAGGCCTGCAAAAAGAACACAATTTGTTTATTAAAAAAAAAAAAAAAAAAGTGTGGGTGGAAGGGATAGAGGCAATGTAGATTTATTTTTTAAATGAAAAGCATTAAGTCATAATAGACATCAGGTTTTTATCTACAAGCAGTTGAGTTTACTCCCCCACTTATCCACACACATCTGCTGAAATCCAGACATTATTTTAAGGGTCTTTTTTAAAGTGGTTTTGTATAATCAATTGGTTTTGTTTTTATTATAGTTTATCAACATTTTTATGGACTATTTTAAAGCCAAAACAGTTTTGATTGTAAGAATAATTCTTTTCTCGTTTTATGTGAGTGAATATTGCATTAAGAAATTTTTGGAGATAATGATTTTTCCAGATACGAGTTCTATTTAACCCATAGCTGGGGGGAGAAGAGATGGATTCATATCTTTCCTAAGGGTATTTGTGCACAAGTGAATGTAGAGATTTAGAGAAAAATCAAAGATGCCCTGAGGAAAAAAAATAAATGAAACCACAGAAAATACTATTTTTCTTTTAAATTTTTTTCTTACACTCTTTATATGGCTGGATAAATAATTCCAGTTGCAGACACCATCTCAGGCACATTTGCATTTTTTTCAACACTCACACAGTTTATATTACAACAATTCTGAAAAGACTTTAGTTACAGGCTCTGGAGAGAGTGAATAATCTGCTGTGATCATTAGTTGAACAAGATTAATATGTCAAACACTCGGTCATGATGACTTATGCTTTCCTGCTAACACAACCTTCAACAGCTTCCAACCATTTCCATCTATTCAATTTCACTTGCAAGACTCGTGTCAACCTGTGGTGTGGTTTTCAAGCACTTTCTGACAGTGTCACACACCAGGATCATCTCCCAAGAACAATATTATCAAAAGCATCCCTCTACTTGAAAAATCAATAATGGTAAGATACAAACCCAGGTTTCAGGGTCAGAATAAAATTGTAGCCTCTCAGACATGTGTTTAATTATTTACAGTTTAAACTTTTGCTCTATTTATAGTAAAATAGTGCTCAATATCAGGGATAGAACATATATAGAGTGAGTGTGGACATAGGAATCAACACTGCATAGTGACTGAAAGTTTCACAGTTGAAGCACAAATCTGCCAGTCACAAAACATCAAATATGGATTGGAATCCGACAATAAGATAAAGAATAAATAGGAAATATTTATCAATCTAACAAAATAAATAAAAGTGAAACGCTAAATTGATAAACGTTTACGTTTTGTTATCATATTATATATATATATATATATATATATAAAATATATATTTTATATGTTTATACATTCTTTTATAGATACAAATTCTTTAAGATAAATTTTCTGTTTATAATAAACAGTATTAACGACATTTACCGGCCTGAATATTCAAGAAATTCTCATAGAAAATATGCATACCCCAACAGGAATCGAACCTGTATCCTATAGGGAACCATCATATAGCCTGACGTACCTTTACCGATTGGGCCACAGAGGAGCATTCAGTTAGCAAGGTCAATTTTACTGTTTTTAAACACAATTTTCTATGATTTTCTCTCATTCATTCATATCTGCTCAATGTGTATCCAAATGTAAACAAATGACGTCATACATTATGTAATGGACAAAGTCCAACAATTATTTAAGTCATTTTTTAGGTTTATACGTTCTTTTTATAGATACAAATATTTAAGTAAATGCACTGTTTATAATAAACAGTATTAACAACATTTATTAATTTATTATAAACAGAGCATTTACCTAAATATTTGTATCTATAAAAAGAATGTATAAACATAAAAATGTCTTAAATAATTGTCGGACTTTTGTCCATTTCATAATGTATATATATATATATATATATATATATATATATATATATATATATATAAAATTTCAGATAGAGTATATATGTAAATGGGCAATATGAATCAAGACAAAAAGAAATTTTATCTTAGCCAACTTGTTTTGTCCTCTGAGGGACTTTATCAAGGTAAATGCAAGGATATTATTTTGTAACAAGTTTTTATATACTAGACCAAAAATGTTATTGGCTTAACAAAATTTTTAAATTTAAGAACACTTATAAATATTCATGAGGTTAGCTAAAATATCTAGGAAAGCTATGTGACACAATTCAATGTCTAACCAAGAAACAAGAGTAAATGATGTTCTTGATTTTTTCTTTTTAATGCAAATTACTATTTAGATTATATTAGTTTTGGATTAATTTATGTTACATATTTTATGAATTTAACCATTTTCTTTTAATTTTTTAACATTTTTATAGTTATGTATGTGGGCTTGGGAATGTAGTAATTCTTTCTGAAATGGAGATATTTGAAAAAATCCAGGAGCGCAGATTTATATTTTGATTAGATTCAATAGCAGCACTCTCAAGAATTTTCCTTCTAAATAAGTTACTTTCACTTTTAATAAGTGGGACATTCTTTAGATCAAAGTTATGGTAGAATTTACTTCTATGTATAACTACAACAATTTATCAAATGCATTAGTTATACATAGAAATGAATTCAAACAAGAACATTACATCTATTACATGTTGTAAACAAGCCACAAAAGCAGGAAAAGAAAAGAGCATCAAAATTAATAATGACAAAAGAACAGCTCTAGAAAGAAATGAAAATAAACTGAGAAGAAAAACAAAATATGTCATACTTCAGGTAAAAAGTTGTGTCTCTTGATAACTTGGAATAACATTTCATGGGTTTCAATGGCAGGTTTAAGATCTCCTTTTAAAACCTGCAAGTAAACAGTTGATATTTAATATTCGAATGCTACAAAACGAAAACAGTATTCAGTATTATTTTTCCCAGAGTGGGGTATAAGAATAAGTCGGTGGAGTAGTACAATAAGCACTGAAACTAGAAATAATCATTTTTTTTTTTTTTTTCAGATTACAATTTAAGTATCCCTTAACTGAAATTCTGAAAGTTTTTCAGGTGCTGACATGACTTGCCACAAATGGAAAATTTCAGAAACCACTGAGAAAATTCCGAGGTCATATGCATATGTAAGTGGCCTCGTGTGCCCTGGGTGGAGGTTCCCCAGCCCAGTTACTTAGCAATCATCACAGCAACATGTTCATTCGTAGATTACTTACCAGGTGTTTTTTGCTCAGTAAAGATATTATTCAAAATGTCAAAAAGTCCTGCATTTATATATTTTTTGTACACATACAGAAAGAACAAAATTATTCATTTTTGTTTTATTTTCTTGTTTTAATAACATCTATATATTGTTGTACAAAGGTACCTTCATGAGATCACTAAAAAAAGAGCATAGCATGATGAAAAAGATGCCAAACTTGGCAAAAACAAAACAGTGATAAAATGTGTACCTTAATGCTGAATTAAAGGTTCAAAAGGTTAGTGAAGAAAGAAAATAGAAAAAAACAAAAGAAGAAAGGAAAAAGAAAGAAGAAAGGAAAAAGAAAGAAGAAAGGAAAAAGAAAGAAGAAAAAACCAATGAAAAAACTGTAGAAAAAAAAAAAAGGAAAAAAAAAAGAAAAAAAGAAAAAGAAAAAAAAAAAAGAAAAAAAGAAAAAAAAAAAAAGAAAAAGAAAATCTTGGAAATTCTGAACTCTCTCAAGAAAAGAATTTATTTTACCTGAAGCCCTGGCCAGAAAGCCAGAAGAGAATCCATAAAGTTCCTTGATGTTGATTGGGGTTTATGCATGTGTACATCAACCAGCAAAGGACCCTGACTGATATATTTCATCACAGCATCATAATGCTACAAAACAGTAATAAGAGATTTCAGTCATCTAAGTGAGAAAGGTTAAAAAGAAACAAACAGTGAAGTTTTTATATATATATATATATATATATATATATACACACACACACACACACACACACAAAAACAATAATAGCTGGCCACTTGTAATCAAGGATACCTGTCAACTAGGGTGGCTAGCCAATTTCTATTGCAGACACTTGTTCAGGCACATTTGTGTTTTCTCAACATCCACAGAGCCAACCTGTAGTTTATACTGTAACCATGCTGAGCATATCTTAGTTACAATTTCTGGGAGGGAGTACGTTATCTAGCATGATCAACAATTTGAACAAGGTCAGCACACTCGCACCCTTTGCCACGATGATTTGTGGCTTCATGATAGCACAGCTATCGGTAGCCCCCAAGTGTTCTGTTTACCCAATTTCACTCACAAGGCTTGGGTCAACCTGTGATAGGGTTCTCAGGCACTTTTCAAAGGTGCCGCATGCTAGGATTATCCCTCTCCAGACCAATGACATCAAGAAGTCTCCTTCAACTGTAGTGAGATTCAAACCCAGGTCTCATGGTTAGAAAGCAAATGTTCTAACCACTTGGTCACATACCCATAAAAATACATACATACATATATACGCGTGCGTGCGTATTTAGGCAGTAAGAATTATTTCAATCATGTATAGTTGAATAATATCAGAAAGTTATGTCTATCTTCAGAGACAGACCTTGTTGATATTATTCAATATAACATGTTTTAAAATAAATATATATATCATTTCACCCCAAGCAAGGCAATAAATCCATTAAAACACAAGGGATTATTGAGTGTGAAAGCATATGAGAAAAAGGAAAACATTATTAAGGAAAGAGAATAATAAAAGAATTGGAATTAAGAAGACAAAAGATAGCGCTTGATATTTTATATGTATATAAAATTATTATCATGAAAACAAAGACTTTTAAAAGATCATAGTGATATTTGTTTTGTTAGAATCAAAATTTCTATTCCAACTCTTCAGACTAAACATTACAAACACAAAAAAATTCCTTTGGATCTTGTCATATTGCTGAGAGAGGGTGTCTATGTAGTCTGGGCAGTGCATGGCCTCCTTTATCATCACCCAGGCCTTTACCCAGGAGATATATAAAATGGACTCTCGTATGAGAATCTGACAACTTAATTGATTCAGTTATGAAATTTTATGCAATAATCTTAAGTGGCATTTAAGACCTGCTAGTGATTTACAAAGGAGGCTGCATATGGAGCAAGAGTGAGGATCGTGGGATGAGATCACTGTTAGATTGGCTGACCTTTTGGACCTTGCTCTCACTTCTTGAAGACGATTCAGACAAGCCGATTGAAAACTGCCGAGTCCACTTAAACACATTGATCTCCATTCTACCCACTCCAAGGGTGTTATCAGGTATATTGACAGCTGACTATATATATATATATATATATATATATATATATATATTCTATAAGCTTTGAGACTTTTTCTGCAGAGGCAGTTAGAACTGTTCTAGATTATTGTAATTTTAATATATAATTACTATACATTTAATAAGCTGACTTGCCAACTTTTGTTATTCCACATTGAAGGAGGCAGCTGTAACAGTTCTTTGAATACACCCTACTAAATACTGCTTGTCACAGCTGACTAGTTTGTGGAATGTAGTTAGGAAGTGAAGAAATTTTTTTATTTAAAACTTCATTTTTCTTTGAAAATCTGATCATATTCATAAAACTGTCATCACATCATACAAGAGGCCTGTTGTCTACTAAAGTTTATACATATACTTCAGTTTCAAATATATAAAGTGGTTGGAATAAAAGGGTTGGCTGGAATTTTTACATAATTTTCAGTAATGAAACATTTTCTCCTAGAATGCTCACAACCTAAATTAAAGGGTGGGAGGAAATCTCATGGATATTTAATAAGAGAGGTGTTTTGAATAAGACTTACTCAATAGACAAGAGAAAAGTTGAAGTGATTATCTTTTTATCAAATGACTTCATAATAATAAAGATACACAAAACCATCAAGACAGTAAAACATAAAATCTGCCAACAAACCTTATTAAATCTTTCGAGATAAGTGTTATCACCCAGCAAAATGTAACCTTTTAACACGTATTCATAGTAGGAATCAATGCCAGCACCAACTCCACTTTCTATAATAGAAATAAAACAATTTAGATTATAAAAAAAGATTTAATACTGAGATTTATAGAGATTAAATATAATACTAATTTATAGAAATCAAGTATAATATGGTACTATGTACAACTGGCCACACTGACATAAAAATATTTCTTTAATTTGATTTCTAATTCTTTACACAAGGTTAGGATGTGTTGTGTATCATCAAAAACATCACAAAAGAATTTGTATTTTCACAATTGGGCAATAGGTAAAATTTGAAATTCAAGAAAGTGAGATGCATTCAGGATTTGGTTGGCACACATTTTTTGAGGCCTTAAGGAACAGGACAAACCTGTACAAAACCTGCATTAGTCACATGGAGTGTATTGTTAAACCAATATTTTTAATGTACTCATAATTACTAATTGGCAAACTTGTTTCTTTTGCTACCTCACACTACTGACTTAGTGTGTGTGCGCAGCACATGGTGTGGCATAGTTGTAGCTCAGTTGTAGTGGGAAGAAGACATCACTGTCTTCTTTGGGAGATGTCCTGTCACCATACCTGATTAATGAAGTTTTCATTATATATATATCTATATATATATATATATATATATCTTTTTTTTAATTAATAGTTTAAAACTGTATTTCAGCAATTTTTTTTCACAATCAGAAAGAGACAGTTGACATTTCTAAGGCACATAAATAATTACAAATATTAAAAATTAAAAAAAATATATACATAAGGAAACTTCAGTTAGTATCTCAAAGCTAATTTTACCCAGATATTTCAGCAGCCGTACAGTGGCTTATTGGTATGCTACTTACCTGCTTAACTTTTGGGTACAAATCAAGGTAGAGTTCACATATTTGTTTGCTTTATGAGGACAAAACCAACAAAAAAAAAATTTATAAAAGTGTAGAAATAAATTTTCAAAAGAATTTATTTCTGGGAGGTGTACATTTTTTCTTTTCTTTTAACTCATTAAACTTAAAACCATCAAAAAAGATTTAAAATTAAACTTTTAAAGAAAATGTCTGAGTCGATATTCTTATTGGTACTCAGGTAATTTTCTGGCTTGTTATATTTTCAAGTAAACAAGAATTATGAATAATTTTTAAAAATTCAGAAGGCTTACTTCAACTTACCTCTCCTCACCCAATCACCATTATGAATATTAATCACAGTCCCAACCAAATCACTCACTCGATGCCGCTGCTGCCACAAATAATCCATGGCTTTCCGTGCTTTCTCCTGTTCAAAGGAGAAAAGAAGAGAAAAAATTCAATTTTATTTATTAATCTTGATTAGGTAGCATGACTAAAGAATTCTGTAAATCTTTAATAAAAAGAAGAGAGGTGCTGCAAACGTTTTTGGTTGTAATGTGGATTTTTTTTTTTTTTTTTTTTAAATATTATGCTTTATTTTTCATAATTTTACTACACACGTTTCGCGACCGTCTTTAGGTAAAAGGCGGAGATTTCCACATATTATTAAAAATAATTAATATCTGAATGTCTTTCTTGAATTCAAGAAAGACATTAGGATTACTAACACAAAAACAGAGAATGTCTCCTATCGAGAATATTTAACATTGAAAAACATAAGGAAAAAATGAATTATTTTTAATATTATGTGGAAATTTCCGCCAGAAATGCGTGTAGTAAAATTATGGAAAATAAAGCATAATATTTAAAAAAAAAAAAAAAAAAATCCACATTACAACCAAAAACGTTTGCAACCTCTCCACACTTTTCTCTCGTTGGAACCACTATAACCTCTTTTCTTTTATTTATACATATATATATATATAGAAAAAGTTTCAAATTAAAAATTATAATGTTTTATTTTATGAAAGTATTTATTTATATATATATATATTTGATATTTCAAATTGTCCTCAATTTTTTCATCAGAAATAACTGTTTGTTACAAATAAATTAAAATTACTGTTTGTTGGCAAGTAAAGACGCGGACGTAAATGGAACGTCACTGTTCAGATATTCCTAAAAATCTAACTGTCATAAAAAAAAATATTTTTTTACTATATCTAAAAAATTGCTTAAAAATATTTATAAAGATTTAAAACACCTAAGTCCCTATTCAACCCTAATTTATGTGTATTTAATTTTAAAATCCAATATGTTTTTTTTTTTCTCTTGAATGTGGAAGAAAATCCAATCTATTAATAAACATTTGCAGTTTTCTTTTGTCCTGATTGATTGTATATATAATATATATGTTTTGATATATATTATTAAAACGAAATAAAATTGTTTCCATCATATATCCATATATAAGTTGCAGAATAAATAATATATATATATATACACATCCTGATATATATAAATATATTTTCTATATATATAAGAAAGTATATTCTCATATATATATATAAAATATATATATATATATATATATATATATATATATATATACATATATACATATATAAAACAAGAAGTTCTGAAGAGTTCTCAGTTCAACATAATTTCCAAAATTTGAACAAATAACTAAATATCAGGATATTTTTACTTTTTCAGAAGCGATTCAGCATGCCTTCTCACATGCAATGAAAAGAAAAATAACCATGACATTTTACACACACACGAAAAGAAAAGAAAAACAAAATAACATCGATAAATAGCATAAATTATTTTTTTTGTATGCAAAAAAAAAAAAAAAAATATACATATTAAGAAACTACCCCAAAACATCCAGAGAAAAGATTCCTCTAGTTGACCATAAAATTATACAACTATACAAACTAATTACTAACCACTGTTTCTTTTTTCAAAAAAAAAAAATTTCTATATGCAAAAATGGGATCACCTACTAGTAGTATCTTTGATTGTCTTTTTCTAGAATTTTTAGAGTCCAGCCCATTTAAACACATCATACCTAAAAACTCAACTTACCTAAGATATATACAGGGCGTGATGGGTAAGTTGTTGCCATTTTATATTTTTAATTTTGTGCATGCTTATGGTATGTTTTTGGTTTTGTTGGTTGCACAGTTTAGTAGGGTCAATTGGGCAACATCTGTGAGAAAAAGAGCACCATGATGCAATTCACTCTGCCAGAAATTTGGAAATGGCATGTACTGCTTGGCATTCATGCCAGAAGCTCCAATATGAATATTTCAGGGTATCAATCTGAGGACAGTGCAGAGGATTTGGAAAGAGTTGGATGATATATCCAGTCAACATCATGGTGTTTGGAGTGATCACAAGTGATGGCAATGTTATATCTGCATTCATTTTCTCACAGGGCTTCAGACTCAACATAGGGACCTTGAGGAGGTAGTGCTACCCTGGGTCAAGAGTGTGGCTCCTGGAAAGATCTATGTCTGGCAACAGGACTCTGCACCATGCCACACAAGCAAGAGAAAAAATTTTGTGTGAATTGATAGGACGGTTTTTGAAATATTAGAAAAAGTTCTCTCGATAATAATTTGGCACGCAGTGTGTGTATGTATGTATATATATATATATATACTCTTCATTAAAAATGAATCAAGCACTATGGCTGTCTGGCGTTTGTTTACATTTGCAAAAAATAATATGCTAGAATTTCCCTTTCCCTCTGCTGTGTTCAGGGATTGAAACTCCGACTGATTTGGCATCAGTTGAGTTTCAGTCCCAGCGTGAAGCACTCAGATCTCTAGCTACACTGATGAGCTGTGATACAGTGAAACAGGCCTGTATGTGGATGACATTATTATGCTCTTAAAAAAGTTCAATTGAGCACTGTTGAGAGAGAGAGAGTGTAACTCTAAACAGCAGCCATCTCTGCTAACTCAACATTCTTCATTAAAAATGAATTGAACATTATGGCTGTCTGGCATTTGTTTACATTTGTAAAAAATAATACACTAGAATTTCCCTTTCCCTCTGCTGTGTAGATAGCTCAGGTGTGGAAAATCTAAATGATGCCAAATCAGTCGGGTTTTGGTCCTGGTTTGAAGCAATTGGATGTCTAGCTGCACTGATGAGCTGTGTTACAGTGAAACAGGCCTGTATGTGGATGATATTATATATTCTTGAATATTCAAGCCAGTAAACAAAAATAAATACACTGTTTAAAATAAATAAGAACCTACTCAAATATGGGAATCCATTAAAAATAACGTTTAAAATGATAAAAACACATATGCACACACAAAACGTGTGAGTGAGAGAGAGAGTGGGGAGAGAAAGAGAAAAAAATCTTTTATATATTGTTTTGGGAGGCATATGAATTATGATAATGTCAGCAAAATAAACCCTACTGTTCTGTTAATCAAATTTTTTAATTTTAGGGAATATTTTAAGCATATTTTGGGAATTATTTTTTATTCTTAACAAAAAATTATTTTTTTTTACTGAGTCTACAGAATTTCAGAAGATTAAAAAAAATTAACCTTATATTATTAATCAAGCTGACTGAATCTTTCCAATGGCTAGCAGGAATTTTTTTTTTTTTATGTTCACTTACCTCAAATATACTTTCACCTGTGAGCCGGCTGAGGGCGGCAAATTCCAGAATAATTGTTCCTGCACAAGCAGTACATGTGTCTTTATGTCGACTTCTCAGATCAGCATCAATGCCATGTAACAAATTCACCTAAAAGAAAACAATGCATCATATAAACCATTGTTGTTCAACTTAATTTACTCTTCTTACAGATTTTTCCTCTTATAATCTGACATGCAAAATTGATGACTTATAAGGTATCCCAAAAAAGTCCTTGCTGTTTTTTATGTCGTGTGAAAGAAGTGATCACTGATATGCAAATAAGTGTGTCACGTGCCAAGAAAGTAGTGGAGGTATTGCTCTTGAGCAAGTACACTGTGCACACACATTAGTCATAGTTTGAGCAGCATTGTAGACAGGCAATGTTGAAGAAAATCATTTGGTGTTGTCTGTTTTATGACTTTAAGATGTGCATGTCCACAGTCATATGAAATTTTTGAATATGTCAAGCTTTTGCAGATAAGGCTGTGAGTGAACACACTCCCAGACATTGGTTCCAGAAGTTGAGGTAAGGAGATCTATCCCTTCATAAGGCACTGAAGGAGCCATAGAGGAGAACAGCCAAACCTGTAATGAGCTTGCTGAATGTTTCCAGGTTTCCAATGAAACAGTCATATTTTACCTACACTGCATAGGGAAGGTGTAAAAGGTGAGCAAGTGGCTACCCCCATACACTGTCAGAAGCCAACAAACAAGTGACAGACATTTTCTCATTGCTTTCTTGGCACTGCAACATCCCTATATTTGATTGAGTGCTCACCAATGATGAAAAGAGGGTCCTGTGTGCACTCCCAAGCATGCAAGACATTGGTTGTCACCACGAGACCCTGTACCTCACACTACAAAACCAACTCTAAATCCACGTAAGATCCCATCCTTTTACTGTCAAAACAGTTAAATTCAACTGCCTCTTCTACTCCAACAGCAGCTTCTCTCACACTTCTCGACAGTGGAACTCCCTTCCTCTTAGTTCCCTGATAACTATAATCTTCAAAAATTTAAATGTAATGTCAATCGAAATCTTCTGAAGCCTTGATCCCCATTCTTTTTATCCTTTCTTCAATCCCCCCATACCTAGTCTTTTCCCTTACTTTCACTCTCTGTAGCCCCTTGCGTACTATTGGCACCCCCCACTTGCTGAGGGTGAAATGTTTAAAAAAAAAAAAAATTCTTCTATAATGAGGCAGATTTGCAACAGGCACTAACAGACTTCTTTGCATCCAAGATACCTTATTTTTACCGCCAAGGCATTTCGCAGTTGGAGGCACGTTGGCAAAAGATTCTGGATGTTGATGGGGATTACTTTGAGAACTAACAGTATGTCAAATTTACTGAATACCATTTTTTTTCTAATGAATCAATATATTGATCTAATGGAATAGCAACACCAAGTTCTAAAACCTCACAGATAGACTACTAACCAGATTCAATGCATACAGGATAGAAGTCAACTCAGGGAAGTCAAAGCTATTGATTGATTGGTTGGTTGTTTTTTTACAGCTATTTTGGCTTGTAAAAATAATCTTACTTTTTAACTCCTAGCTGGGGGGGGGATAGATTCATACCTTTCCGAAATTGAACAAACCATCTGCTTTAATTACTAAGCTACAAGAAATCAGCAGCTTTGCAGAAGATCAAATTTAACCAATACAACCATCCTTTATTTCACAATGTTTTTTTTTTTTCAGAGTACCATATTTATGTTTTTACACTAGTAGTAGTAGTATTTTTATTTGATGAAACACTGTCAAATATTATTATGAATTCTGACTTGTATTTACTTTCATATAGCTTGAAGAATATGAGCTGAGTGGTTAGAATTTTCATTTTTTAACCATGAGACCCAGGTTCAAATCTCATCAGGCTCGTTTTTGTCAGAAAGTAACTTCCTGATATTATAAGTCTGAGAAGATGATCTCAGCATGCAAAACCTAAAAAAAAAAAAAACATGCCACAAGTTGACCCAAGCCAATTTAGGTAGATGGGACCATTCAGTAGTTGTGTTAGCACAGACTCACAAGTCATCGTAACAGAGATTTTGAGCACACTGGCCTTGTTCAAACTGCTGTTCATGATAGATTATGTGCTCTTTCCGAGAGACTGTAACTAAAGTCCACTCAGTATAGTTGCAGTATAAACCACAAGTAGAGCTTTATGAATGTTGAACAAAAATAAATGTGCCTGAGCAGGTGTCTTCAACAAATATTGACCATCTACCCTAGTAGACAGGTGTGCTTAGAATACGAGAGTAGTCATCCATTACAGCTTGAAGAAGTGGAGATGTATTGAAATTAAAAAGAAACAGATGGCATAATTCCTCTCAAGCAGCCAGACTTTTGATTAATCCTGTTTCTGCTTTTTCAAGTTATTAAGTTTTGTGCCATTAAGAAATTATTTTACTTTCACCTTAATTTTTTAGTTGCTTTTTTTTTTTTCACAACCTATTGATCTACCTGGTGTCTTGTGGCATATAAAAATTTTTCAGGACATCTCCCTGTCTGCTTGGTGGCATTATTTGAATCACTTGATTCTGTATCACACTGAATGCTTTCCATGAACTTGATTTATAAATTTCTTTTATATATTTCAGTAAAAAAAAACAAAATTTTCAAAAACAAATAGTGTGCAAAAGTTTCTATCAGAAAAAAAAAGAAAAAAAGATTTCAGATTAATTTTCAAAAGATTTGCACAAACTTTAATAAAGATTTTGTAAATTTACCAAGTCAGAGTAACCTCTCATTTTATCAAACTGAATTTACCAAGTCAGAGTAACCTCCCATTTTCAGTCAGTTATGTGCCATGCATGATACATACTTAGGCAATCATGTATCTTTCAATACATGACTGACGAAGCAGATCTTTTTCCTGCAGTAGGTTGCCATTTCTTTCTGTGGTAGGCCAGTTGCCATCCAAGGCTATAGAACCTGGTCTGTCTGTATTTTACCCATAGGTGGGAGGAGAAGAAGATTCGTACCTTTCTCAAGGGTATTAGAATGTAAGTGAATGTAACGGATCCAAATGGAATGAAAACTCTGTTCTCAGATTCCTCAATCGGTGCCACTCCACCATGCTTCCTCCCATTTTATCAAACTGGATTTACCAAGTCAGAGTAATCTCCCATTTTACCAAACTAAAACTAAAGATCATAAATAGTAATGTTAATATTAGCATTTAAGAAATTTAAGCTGCTTGAATGTGTTGGGCTCTTGCTTAAAATTTTGAATTTTAAAAATATTTTTGGTCCATTTCCATTTATGGGAAAATCACTGCATCTGTTTTTCATTCAGAACCAATCAAAAGGTTTTTCTCCAAATTCTGTGGAGTGAATCTAGAGCCTATCTGGGTGAATAAAAGGAACTGAATTCAAAGAGTCAACAAACAGCTGCTGCATGAATCCAGGTCAGCCAGTCAAGGAAAAAACAACACAGAAGAAATTTGACGACCACCAGACAAGAATTGGAAGGAACATCAAAATCACTCCCACATTAAGGAAAATTCTTCAGCTGGTGTGATTGTTCTGTTCCTTGCTGCTACCATGAACTTTGCTTCAAAAATTGTACCTATTCTTTGAAAACTATTCAGAAGTATTTTTCTCCACAAAAAAAAACAAGACTGTAATTTTTATTGTAAAAGAGATTTTCATTTGCATTGATTATTTTTACAAATGTTATTGGCATTTTGGCATTCACTTTTTGAATTTAGTCAAACTCAGTTGTGTCATCTGTCTTTTGTGTATCCTTAGAAATTTGTTATAAAATTTGTTTGAACTTTTTTTCTTTTTTAAAAAAAAACACATTTCCCCACAAATTTTCACTGAAAGCAACCAGGTTTCTCAAATCCAGTTAAAACAAATTTTCAGGAAAGCAGGTTTCTCAAGTCCAGTAGTTATTAGTCTTTCCAGTAATGATGGAGGTTTCCTTTCTAACCTTTTATTTGATGTTATGTGAACTGTCAACATCTTGATTATGCCATTATTTTATCTTTGATTTAGATGTGCTCTCCATTTTAATTGTTGCTGCTGTTGGTAGTCCTGAGGTGATGTAGTTTCTGTTATTTGGCATAGTTCTTTGTCTGTGATTCTCTATTCCAGTCCACATTGTTCAAAGGAAGATGATCTTTACAATGATGCTCAGGATCTTAGAAAATAGTTGTACACAGCTGAGAGTTTAGATATTTCTGAATGGATTTGGCACCGTGCATGACATGCATATAAAAATCTTGATCTGATGACACTATTTCAAAATATGACTGGAGTTTTCAGGTTGATAATATTTCCATTTATTAACCAATGAATGAATTTATTTATTAAAAGGTTTAACAACAAAAAAAAAAAATATGTTGAGGGTGGGGGATTTTTCTTTAAAGTAAATATCCTACCCCATTCAGTCAGTTGTGGGCCATGTGTGATACACGCTTAGGTAATCATGTATCTTTCAATGTATGACTGACGAAGCAGATTTTTTCCCCGCAGTTGGTTGCCATTTCTTTCTGTGGTAGACCAGTTGCCATTCAAGGCTATAGAGCCTGGTCTGTCCTACTAGTTATCCATAGCTGGGAGGGGGGGGTTAAGAAGAAGAAGAGGATTCATACCTTTTCCCGAGGGTATTAGCACGTAAGTGAATGTAATGGATTTTGACTGGAATTCGAACTCGGCTCTGATTCTTCAATCCGAGCCACTGGCCATTACTCTACCATACATGATTCTATTAAGAAATTGTAAATGGCACTGCAGGCTACTCTTGTCTTGACAAGTCTGATGGAAGTGCTCTGCAGATTTTTCAATTCAGATTTGCCATTCTCATACACCAGTTGTCATCCAAGGCTGTAGAACCCAGTCTATTCTGCTATTTACCCATAGCTAGGAGGAGGAGAAGAGGATCCGTACCTTTCCAAAGGGTATTAGCACATAAGTGAATGTAATGGATTCAACTGGAATTTGAACTCGGCTCTCCAATTCCTCAATATGAGCCGCTATGTATTACTCCAACGTGCCTCCTCCCTACTCCATTATGAAATCTTAAGTCACTTTGTGAATAAGTTTGACATGTTTTAAAAATATAATTGTTTTTGTTGTTATCCAACTTCACTTACAAGGGACAAAATTATAAAAATTGTAATTACAATATGAAGTAAAATACTATTTTCTTTAAAAAAAAAAAAAAAAAATGTCAAGATTTTTGCAATGTAAAAAAAATATGTATCTATATAATACTAAAACTTTAATCTTGTATGTATGCTTGTATTTATCTGTGTTCCCATAATACAGCCTAAGCAATACATAATACCCCAACCAATTTAGCAGCATAGTCTATGTTGAACCCCTGCTGAGAGCAGTGCCAAAATTCATTAAAATTAGACAAGTGGTTCTTAAGGTAGGGCCGTTTTTCTGTTTTTATGACATTTTTAATAGGAAATTCAGTATTTGTTTTCAAGACACATTATTATATCAATCCATGTATATAAACAAACACTTTATATTCCAAATATTATGTATGTAAAAAATAATAAACATTCATAATACATTATAACAACATTATTAAATAAATTTAAATATGCATAACATAATATATATTTATACAATTCACTGCACTGCATTAGAACTTTCTTTTATAAACAACTACTTGAAATGTGAAGAGGCTATATGTATCACATTACTTAATGGTAAATAAATAGATGCATGCTGATTTGCTGTGATTCAAGATTTTTAAATAAATGCAAGAAAGAAACAAGTATGTATCATAAAAAATATACTTATTATTTTGAAAAAGACTACACCTATTTTAAGATATTACTTAAAATTTTCACATGTGTTAACTATGAAACCCAGTGGAGCAATAAACCTTCTTTTACAGTTTTTAAATACAAATTAAAGTGTGTAATTCATAATAAAATTGATAATATTGCTCCTGAACAAACTTCTGTTCACTCCAAACTTTACAAAACCTTCTGACCCTCAAATTATCAGATACAAGGATTGAACTCTTGACCACTAAATGACAGTAACACATATATAACCAATATCTTGTATCCATAATACCACCATCCCAAAGGACATTAGTGGGATGTTTTGGGAGTCTTTTTATATAAGAGCTTGTAATATAATCCTTATCCACTATAATTTTAGAACATAGATTTTTTAAATTATTCTTTTGTTACCAAGATGATGAAATTTGGCATGTATGATGTTCCCTTTACACAGTAAACAAATTCTCTTTGCACATTTGCTGCACATTTCAGCATGACTGTGCAAAAAACAACTCTTGGTTGGTTAAAACTATTTTGGAGAATTATCTCATGATGAAAAACACTTGTAATAACCGTACAATGGAATGGAGGAATGTTATGTTCAGCTCTCATTCTCCACCAACTGTAAAGATTTGAATAGAATACCGAATTTAGCCCGAAAAACAGCATAAGGTAAAATAAAAGCTAAACCTACCTTAGGATAAGGAATACCCGTAGTTGTATTAAATGCTGGAAGTAATCGCATGCCCACTTCTCTAGCCATGTCTCGCAATTCATTGTTGTACCAGAGCATTCCTTTCCGTTTCTTCTTCAAAAAACTGGCCACTACATGTCCACCAAGAAGGCCTCTGTAAAGAACCATAGATCATTATTAAGAAGTTAAAAATTATACTACTGATGACTAATAATAATTGGAACATTTTCATAAACATTTTATACACTAAAGGAAGAAACTATTATGGGACAAAAGCAAGAGTTATTATTGGTAAAATATAAGCAAAATTAAATTTTATGTGCAACTACAATGATGATTAAAATGGATAAATTCACCTGAAAGCAAACCCCCCCCAAAAAAAAACACACACACACACACACACACATAGCTGAAACATATCTAAAGCTTGATAGACTCCTTCCACAATAATTGTTAAGTAGTTTACCAAAAAGTGGTAGAAGGTTGATGTAGTTGTAAGGGTCGAATGGTTCATCCGAGTTCTTAAAGACTCGAACAACAGATAAGGATTTCCAACAAGCAGAAAAGCAAGAGGCATCAAGGCATTTATTATACAGTTTAGAGAGAACAGGAGCCAGTTCAGGAGTACATCTCTTAAGGACTATTACAGGGATACCATCAGGTTCACATGTCTTGTGGGGGATCCAGCTTGGGAGATGATAGCAGAAAACATGGAAGAGGTTATATGCATATCAGTCAACAGAGACTCAGAAAGTCAGACAAGGATTCTCCAAATGAGTCAAGAGTAGAGTTTAAAGAGAATTTATGGGTGAAACATTCTGCTTTATCAGCAGAAAATGTTAACACCCCAAACTGATTGAAGAGAGGAGGAGTAGAAAACTTACTTTTATTCAATACACTATTACAAAGCCACCAGTAGTCATGAGAACTATGGACACCCACGTAAAAAGGGAAGAGATGGTTTTATCTCAGTCTCAAGTGTTTGTGTTTTATAGTCTAGTGGATGGTTTCTTTTGAAATTCAATATATAAGTGGCATCCACTTTAAATGAAGGAGAATGGGAAGTCAAATGCTAGATGAGATATTTTTAAAGATCAAGTGGCAACAAAACCGGGAATAGAGTATATCTGGGTGTTGGTCTATATTAACAGTCATGCTTGGGATCAGGGAGAGTTCAGGTCCACTCTTAGTGGGAGACAGATGTGTTTGACAAGCAGTTGTGAAGGCTTTATTTGTATTGCCAGCCTCCACATCAGGTTAAGATGCATGAGGAGTTGATAGAGGGAAGAGCTGACATTGCAGGTATCATCTACCTGAACAGGTAAAGCTTTGTATAAAACATATAATATAGAAAACAGATGGATATTATCAAGAAGTTGCCTCCTTGAAAATCATGAGATTTGAATCCAGGTTTCATGGTTGAAACACTGATGCTCTCACTACTCTGCCACACACCCATCAAAAAATGTATACACCCTACAAATAATTTTTTTTTCTTTTTCAGACACAATTATAAATAACGGCTAATATAGGAGTAAGTTTTGAAAAGTGAAAATTTGTCCTGAAATACGAGAACATAGCCAAAGACACTTTAGTTTCAAATGATCTACCAAAATAGCTCATCATTAGTTTGAAACTGAAGGAAGACTTCCATACCACATCTTCATTTAAGAAATCTCATGCCAAGGGAATCTTTTCTTAAAGAGAAACTTAGAAGATAATGTTTATCACAAATAACCATTAAAAGAAAATTTATCCAAACCCTTTGAAGTGTAGTTCTTGTTAATGCCTGGGCTAAACACAGGGCTGTCAGTATGAATGCATGCTATAGCTCAAAATAATTGCATATTTGCCCTCTTTATTTTGAATTATAAATTTTTAGTGTAGTCTAATTGATAATTAAAAAAATAAAAATTCCAATCTTCAAATCTACAAATCAACCATTTGCCCTTGCATGGAGTATTGCTGCCATATATGGTCTGGTGCCCTTTGTTTATCTCAAGATTCTTGATAAGATCCAGAGATGGATATGCAACGTAATTAGCCCTGATCTGGCATCTCGTCTGCAATTGCTCTCTCACAGACGTGCCGTCACCTCCCTCTGTCTTTTTTACAAATACTTTCATGGTAACTGCTCTGAGGAGCTGCTTTCGCTGGTTGCCAAACTTCATGAATTTAAGCGTTCTACTAGGCTGGCATCTCGCTCACACCCTTTCACTGTCGAGTCTGTTAAATCTAGTAGTCTCTTCTACTCTAATAGTTCATATCTTGCACCTCTCGCCTGTGGAACTTCCTCCCCTCTTCCTGTTTCCCTGATAGCTATAATCTCACAACTATTAAAATGTAATGTCAATTGACGTCGCCAGATGCCCTGATTTATCCCCTATCCTTCTCTTCATCCTTTCCTCTATCACTCCTATCTGCTCTTGCTCCAACTCTCTGTAACCCCTTGCGTGCTAGTGGCTTCCCGCCTTGCTTGGGGTGAAATGCTTAAAAAAAAAATATACATTTTTTTGAGACATCTTGTATTGCAATAATAAAAAAAAAAAAAAAAAATCTGTTCAATCATCCAAACAACTGAAAATTAGTTTTTGCAAACAAAAAAGAAAAAAAAGATAAACAAAGCAATAGGGAAAAAATTTAAAGTAATTTTGAATTACTGACCTTATTAAAAAAAAAAATAAAATAATAATAACTTACCCTAAAACTCTGATGTTAGTTTCAAATACAGAAACCACTACGTCACTGTCAAACTTGGTGTTTTTAATCACAAGTCGTACTGCATTTTCAAATTCATCTAACTGCCCAAGAATCTGAAAAAATATTTTAGTAATATTTAAAATCATATACTATTTTTCAAGACCAGATATCTTTTTCAGCAATAAACTTCAAAACCTTAAAAAATGTTAAATGGAAAAGACAAAAGATATTTTTCCCCACCCCATAAATAACATCTTGTTTGATTCAGGTTTATATAATTTGGATGGATTTTTGTTATGCTTAAATGTATTTTCTCCCAATTAAAATTTCTTAGCTCAATTTATACATATTTTCATTAATTGAAGGTTGGTTTTATAAATTCTTTAAAAAAAAAAAAAAAAAAAAAAAAAACACCTGAAATATAAAAATCTACGATTATATAAATATAATTATATTTTTACTACTTGAATACCAAAGATAATACACAGGTGTGCCCTGAGTATGACAATAAACTACATCCAGCAGCAAGGCCTCTGATCATGAGGTTTTGAGGAGCATGGAACCACCTTTTAATTCCTGTTGTTCCCAGGTCCACCCTAACCTGGACTGGTAGTACCTGTTAGAGTCCTAGCTATTAGCAAAGAATTAATGCCCAAACTGAGGTCAAAACACTATGAAAGTGTAAAAATAGGTTTTATAGTAAAAATACCAGCAATATATTTTTTAAAAAAAAAAACATTTTTAAAGAATTATCAGCAATATATTTTTTTAAAAAAAATATCAGCAATACAGTTGACTCAACAAAAACCCTTTTTACAAAATATGTCAATGACACCTGATCTACAAACTGATTTCTTACAAAGAATACATATTCTATTCATAGGAACCTATCCTAAAAGTCTTATTGGCATTAAATAACCCATTACGGTGTTGATATGCCATAAAACAAAATAAACCAAATCTGATCTACAAACTGATATCTTACAAAGAATACATATTCTATTCATATGAACCTATCCTAAAAGTCTTATTGGCATTAAATAACCCATTACGGTGTTGATATGCCATAAAACAAAATAAACCATAAAAACACAGGTGACTTCAATCATAAGAGACTTGCTCAAGATCTTGATCCTGAGACAACATTCCAAATTATTTGAGTTGAAGTGTACTTGTAACAGCTTATGCAAGTAGACTTACATCATATTAACTGTTTGAAAAGATTCGTTAATAGCATACAGAAAGATTTAAATTTCATTTTTGCTTTGTTTTTTTGGAGGGGGTGTCTTTATTATGAATTTTTGTTGGCAATAAAAACAGTTTAAAATAGATCACCTTTTCCCTAACTAAAAGAATAAAAAATACACACAAACAGAAGGTGTGTGCATGTATGTACAAATATATTAAACTTGGGTTCAAATCTCACCCTGGTTAATTTGTCAGGAAGGTGACTTCTTAACGTTATCAGTCTGGGGAGAAGACCACAGTATATTTGCAAAGTACCTGAAAAACTAGCCCCGAGTGTGAAATTGGGCAGACAAAACTGTTTATAAACTGTTGATGGTTGTGCTAGCAAGAAGTTAAAAGTCATCGTGACTGAGGGTTTGAATGTACTAGTCTTGTTCAAACTGTTGATCAGAATAGATTATTCCCTCTCCCAGAAACTGTAACTAAGATCCACTCAGAACATTTGCAGTATAAATGTGTGTGTGTGTGTGTGTGTTGAATGAACAAAAATGTGCCTGAGCAGGCATCTGCAACAAGGATCAGCTATAAATAATAATATATGCCATGATAAAATAAAGTACTAATAAAAATAATACATATCAATTCAAAATTAAACAATTCATTTAAATATTTTAACAAATTCATTTATATATTTATATGTTTCTATATATGACGCTTATTTCATTTTACTTTATTTTATCTTATATAGTAGTAGTTTGCCATTTCTTTCTGCGGTAGACCAGTTGCCATCCAAGGCTATAGAACCTGGTCTGTCCTGCTATTTACCCATAGCTGGTGGGAGAAGAGGATTCATACTTTTAGCACGTAAGTGAATGTAATGGATTCGACTGGAATTCGAACTCAGCTCTCCGATTCCTCAATACGAGCCGTTATCCATTACTCCACTGTGCCTCCTTACAAATACTGTATATACTTGTGTCATGTGACTTTTGAAAACCTAATTTAAGCTAATTTTATGGGGATCACATCATACATGTGATATAAAATTAGCCTATATACTGCTGGCTTTGGGCTACACAGTTGACCAAACTATATTATCCATTTACTGTAATCAAAAAGTACAGCTTTATTTAAAATAAACATGACTTTGATAAAACTGGTGTTTTACTTAACCGTATCCAATAATAATGCATGTAATATTCATATATTATTCTCATATTATAAAATACAAATATATTGAATATGCTTCTTTTCCATTGTTTACATTTATGAGATGTTTAGCTGTTTTTCATTTGGTTGTTTATGGCTGTATGCATTTATGCAATGAGTATAATGTTACTAATGGTTCTTTTTAATTTATTTAACTAGAAGATGGTATAAAGAGAGAGACGAAAAGAGGTTAGCCTATTGTAATTTGGTATCTCAAAAAAGAATGTTGACTTATGAAAAAAAACTAATATTACTGTTGTATTGTGTTGTTTTACAACACATGATTATTAGTCAACTTCCACCTGTCTCTTACTTTACTAGTGTAACAATACGATTTCTCACACATTCTTGATAGATAGATAGATAGATAGATAGATAGATTTTTTTTAGATTTTAGATCATATTTAGATAATTTTTTTTTTTTTCCTTTTTAGTCAATTTAATTACCAGAATTTCTTAGGAATTTCGTCTCCAGTTCATGTTTGAGTCAACAACCAGTGTTTTCAGGAACCAGTCTCCACCCCACCTTGGAATTGGCAAACATAAAATTTTGATAATGATTTTAGATAATCGTAAAAGTAGAGTCCTTTGAAAAACTGACCATCCATCCAGCTTTTAAGTAGTCTCCTTTTCCAAAACACAAGTGGATGGATAGGGGCAGTGAGACCCAGCTGGTGTCCATATAATGAGCAGTTAGTCAAGAGCAGTCAGTGAGGAAAGGACAAGCAATCAGTGAACAGAAGAGCAGCCACCTAGACAGTGAATGTAAGGGTTCTCTTTCTTAGTGAGATGGCAGTTCATCGAAGCCAAAAGAAATTATTGGCAGTGAGAAATCGCATTGTTGCTATTTTCCAACCGGGGTCTTGAAAAGCATTTGTCGTTATTCTTTGTCAAATTCAATCACAGCCAAGCAAACAAACCTGTGAACATAGCGAGCTGGGTGTATATATGCATACAACTGACTTTGGATATCATCAGCATTGTGGAGAGATGGACGTGTGGAAAGCATTGACACACTATACACTTTATTCACTTAATTTATGCAGGTAGGTACAATCCTATTTACCAATTCACTACAATTACCATTACACTTTGTATTTCTTGACACTTAAGCACATCATCCTGATACTTAACTAACCATAGCTCTTCCATCAAATTCAATGACTAATTCTTTAGTCATACATCCTGACAATTGCTAGATACATGAAACTCAGAGTTGTGAAATTAGTATGTAGAAACACTAGAAATTAGTATGTAGAAACACTAGATATTAAATTACTTGCTTATACAGATATCTCCACATACACATTCTTTTTAATAACAGATTTTATACTTACAGCTAAAGAGTCCAAGGAGTCTATCAGGGTTAGAGAAAAACTGAAAATAAAAGAATTTAAAAAATACAATTATTTTGAAGACATGTTGATGTACAGTCAGTTTATTTTCATTACAATATAGATGATAATATGATCTCCATTGGATATTAGGTTATATAGTGTGTTAGATAAACAGATTTTTTTTCTATAATTGGCCATGATTAATTATAATTGGTAGAAAGGCCCGACAAACAGAATTTACAAAGTTTGCAGTAAACAATAACAAGAAAAAGAAAAAAAAGAACAGGACAAAAATAATATATGCATGGCAAATTAACAGTAATAAGGCAATAAGTTCACAAACTAAGAATGGTGTTAACACACAAAAGGGGATACAGACAAGCAATCACAGTGATCAGGCTTATTGGCTAGGAGGAAATCCCAGCATGCATCTGTGTTGTATCTATAAATTGCAGAGGGGAAGTTTTTTTGCAGTCATTCCCACTAATTGAAAACCAACATTTTCCATTTTATTCACAGAGTCCTTAGGGTACCTATTTATCTCAGAGGTATTTTTATCCAATGAAGTAAAACTTTAGATGCATAGTCTTGTAGGGGATTAAGAAAATTATCTGCCTTTATATATTAAGTCATTACATATATTTTTTCGGATATCCTGTGAATAATAATTTTTTATAGCATTTTCTGCTTCTTAGTCACTCTGGTCATCCAATGAAAATGTAATTTAAAGTTATTGAAATTTTATTTCATTATCTAACACACTATATAACCTTTAAGATTGAATGCCAAGTGAACAATAATGAGCATGTCAGCACATCTCTGCTTTTTATCAAAGCTACAAAGCTGCCAAAAGCTGCTTGAGATATTTGTGCTGTGTACAGAGATGACTTCATTACTAACAGAATGATATAAAATGTTTCAAAACAACCAGTCAATGATAAGTTGTATGTTGAACAAAAGAACAGGCTCAAAGAGGCAATTCAGCTGAAAAGACCTGGCCTGTGATACAGTATAGTTATTCAACATGGCAATGCTCACCCCCACATTGCTAAGATGACCAAACATGCAATTAAAGAGATCAATTGGGAAGTTCTGCTATTCCCACCATATTCTCCCTATTTATCCTCTTCAGACTACCACCTTTTTACGTCATTTTGTAACAATTTGAAGGATGTTTCATCCAACAATGATGTGGAGCTTAAAAAAGTGGCTTGAGAATTTCTTGTGATTTCTATCATCGAGGCATTGAACAGTTAGTGGAATGGTGGCAGGAGGTCATAAATAATGAAGGGAAATATTGTGTTGAATGATTCACTAAAAATATTAATAAATAATAAGTATTAAAATATAAAAAACAAACAAATTTATATAACAACCTAATATAAAATGTTACATGACCATATAGCATCAGCAAGAAAATAAAGCCAGCAGACCCAGTTCCAGATCAACTGGCAAATAGATAGGCATCAATTTCCTTATCTCTCATGGCTGGAGAGATACTGGTTCAACATATCTATCTCTGGTGAAGCACTTTAACATTCAAGTAAGAGGATTTTTCATTCTTTTACCAATATGTCTCCTTGCTCATTTATCACTAGAATGTGTTAATTTGGCAACATGGACAATTTAGTTTTAAATACTAATAGATAAATAGTTTTACTTGTTTATTGACTGCCCTTTACAGTCAGGCCAGTCAATATTATTCACCAGTTTACTAATGTTTGGAAAAAAAATAGCAATGTTTAACTAATATACCTGCAATAAAACAATGTCAAAAAGTCATTTTTTTTCAGTTGACATCATTATTAGCGCATACTCCCTCAACAATGTGTGTTTCAAAAAGCTACATTTAGAATTTTAATAACAAATATATTACACATTATTTAATTGTTAGATTGTTTATTTAAAAGATTATAAAAATATATGCATATTCAAATTGATTGGCAATTCCAAAGCATTCCAAAGTAAAGAATTCACTGGCTTTGGCAATTGCTTTGATCAAGGTGCTTAAGTGTTATCACTTAGCTGACAATAAGTACACTATTTACATTGTTCAGACTGTTGTCCTCATCTTTGTTGCCATATTCATGATGTTCCAGCTGTTGTACACTCCAGCCTTTTTCAGGTGATTGGAATTTTGAACTGAACCCTTTATTTTGTCCAACAGGATAGATTGTTCTAGTTCAACGTGCCATGCCTCATTAATCTCCCTTTAACTCAACTCTCCAAGTTTCTGTTCACCGGTGTCTAAAAGCGTTGGTTGGATTTAGTAATTTGACTCAAAGAGTTGTGAGTTCAATACCTGGTTACTGCAGTAAGGAACAAAAACTTTTAAGCTAGTTTAATATAAAGGCCAAATAAGTATATATATATATATATATATATATATATATATAATCAGCATTTTTTTTTTCACACAAAAGATAGAGATACAGGTCATTATTAGCCTGAAAACTTTAAAATAACATTCTTCTTATTTTTTCAAAGACACCCATTTTCTATTCTATAATCCTTCCTGTACACATCTTCTTTGAGTCAAATTTGATTTTCAAACTTGTTACTTTTGGTAACAATTGAGACAATTGACACAGGACAGATATCTATTTTTTCATCATGAACTCACCTACCACTGATTAGAGATCAAAAGGACTTTTTACTTTTGAAATTGACATGTGAATAAAATTTCTTCAATTGTTCACATTTTAAAAAACAAAAAGTTTTGAGATTCCACTAAAATGTATTTTATTAGTAATAATTATTTTCCGTTCAATAACAAATTCACTGAATGTGAATTCATCTATCTTTAACAGTTCACTTGTCTCTGATGCCTTTTATCTTTGAGTGAGGGTAGCAGCTAGAAGACATGCCTTCATATTCTTTCTGTCACCTAGACGTGAAAATACATAAATAACTATGAGGTCATGAACTCGTTCTAATCAAGGAAACAAACCACTGTTCTCAATAATTGCCAATTACTGACAACTAAAAAAATATTTTTCTTAAAGGACAATTTTAGCTTATAAAAAAGCCAGCTTTCTGGAATTTGGCATTATGCTTTCATAATTTGAGAAACGGGAGTAGCCCAATTTACAAAATTTCAGGACTTTTCAAGAAACTTTTGGGCTATTGTTGTTTTTCCAGGACTTTTCTAGCCCTGAAAAATGAACCTGTATGAACCCTGTTAACTACAGAATTCTATAGGATATTTATGTACACTGGTAAAATAACACATAATAAACCATTTTAAAATATGTGAGTAATTAATTAAAAGAGTGCAGATTTCCTGTGGTTGATGCCTGTATTTTTTTTTTTTTTTTTTTTTTAAATAATTGGCTCCATCAATGTCAATGATAGTCGAAGATCACCCCTTTTCAGAATGTCGAGTCTATTACAATATTAATTTATTTATATTATTAATATTTTAAAAATTAAAATTATTATTTATTAATATATTAAACTAATTTATATAATAAATTATAATGTTTATATAATTTTCCTATATATATATATATATATATATATATATATATATATATATATAATCCTTCCTTTATATAACTTGTTTTTATTCAACTTTTACAACCAAAACATTTAGTAGAATAAAAGGGATGCTAACTTACATCACTTGATCTTGTTTTCTGCTAGTTTTAGAATTGTTTTTCTATTTTTAGTATTTTAATATGATGTAAATTATGGTAGAACTTCTAATTCTCTCTGTTGTAACAACCATTCTGAAATGAAATTGCACTATGGACCACAAAATATTACCATGGAACCCCAATTCGCTATTTTTTGTGTGGACCCCCAGTAATGTTACATGGACTCCCAGGGTCCATATGCACTTCGGTTGAGAACAACTGCTCTAAAGCTTACCTGGTAGTAAATGGGATATGTACAGGTTGCATATTGTCAAAAATGCTTACATATCATGGTTATTATGAAAACTTTTCTTTAAGCTGATAACAAAAAAAGAACCAAAATTAACCTATAAGGAAAAATAAATTTAAATGAATAAAAAATAAATTTAAATTGTTGAATACAATCTACTTACTTGCCCATACATTCATCTATGTCTCCCCGTGATCGCTCTCGGCCACGATATCGTCCCTTGCAACTCAAAGGCATTAATTCATCTGCAGGGTATGCATGTTTCTGGAAGGAGAATCAACAATTCAACATTTATACGGATCCTCAAATGATAAAAAAACATCTTTGATGTTCCTAGTTTCATTGAACACAGGAGATTTTAAAATCTTTCTTCATGCTTCAATTTAGTCAAAAGGCTGATATATATATATATATATATATATATATATATATATATATATATATATATATATATATATATATATATATATATATATATATATATATATAAATATATAAATATAAATATATATATAAATATATATAAATATATAAAATATAAATAAATATAAATATATATAAATATAAATATATATAAATATATATATATATATATATATATATATATATATATATATATAAATATAAATATATATTTTTGTTACGAGGGTGCATTTCTATAAAAATAATAAAAAGGGATTCTACTGAGTCCTACTTGTTAATACAAAAAAGTTTTCATTCATGAAGTAGTTGTAAAATAGAAAAATTAGAAATAGAATGTTTGGAAGATTCTAGATCATTCCAGTATATTTGAGAAACATCTAGAAAAATGCTAATTAGGTGCTAGCCACTACAAATAAGTTTTTGAAAAAGTGTTGTCAGTTGGAAAAAGGAATTTCTGCCATTATCAACTCCGGCCTTTTGATTCGCGGATTATTATATCCAGTCGAAAGAATCTCTAAGAAAAGGCGCCGACCAACAAAAACCCAAAAGAGAACCACATGGAACAAATCTGGTAAATAGTGTTTTGACTATTTTCATTGACCAAAATACAAATTAATCTATATATACTCACATTTGTGGATTTCCAGTAACAGCACTTAGATTACTTCGCTAGCCCTAATGTGGTAAAGATACTTGACTCACCTTCCTTCTCCTTCGTAACACTTCGCCCATAAACTCTGTGTTTACTGTTTTTGTATGTCACAATTGTATATCTTGTATATATTTTATCTTGTGTTTTTGTAAATTAAATATTTGTTTGTGATTTAGCTCTGTGTTTTGGTAAATCATTTATTTTTCTTTGTTACAATTTCCAACACGTAACAATATATATGATAAGATAATCCTAAGGAGTCAGGCAAACCTACCTAGGTTTCACCTAAACGGATCTTCAGGGAAATCTTTTTACTCGTTTTGGGGGTTTGTTTTTTTGGGACTTGGAATTTGAACACTGGACGATTGTTTTCACTTTAGTTTAATGTTCTTGGTTCTTTCTTTTTTTATTCCCCATTTTTCCTCAGGTACCAATTTGTTCTACTGCAAGTTGAGCTATCCGACATTTTTCCAAACGAGTACCACCATATATATATATATATATATATATATATATATATATATATATATATATATATATATATATAAAAATGAGCATTAAAATTGACAGTCTGTTTCATGATTAAATGCAATCGTCAAGCCGTGTGCATTGTGTTTTGCTCTTTGAAAGTTTTTCCTACCATTGCTTGACATTGGAACAAGACTATGGATTTTAAGTTTAATTTTTTATAATTTATAATTTTAGTTTCAGTTTTGAAACATGGAAATTTTCTGTGTTGCGATGGAATCATATTTTTAAAAAGAAAATAATATTATTTTGCTTTACTGTTTGTATTGAGCATTGTTTTTTTTAAATAAAATAACAGTTAAAAAACACCAGATTATAAATCTTACTGTTCTTTTCTTATTTTAATATATGTAAAATATATATATATATATATATATATATATATATATATATATATATATATATATATATATATTCTTGACTCTCCTGTCGAATTCGACATATGAGGGTCAAGCAGATCAGTTCTAGGAAACTGACAGCCCAACACCAGCACATGAGATTTGATTATAGTGGTGAAGGTTTTGTGCGGAACCATCCACACTTTTTGAAGGGCTGAATACAGAGACTTGGTGCACAACGTGGCACAGGATCCCTGAATGACCCTCCACAGGTTTTGAATTCAGAGTTGTCCTTCTCCTAGACCAGTTGCCATCAAAGGCTATACAACCCAGTCTGTCCTGCTATTTGCCCATGGCTGGAGGGAGAAGAAGAGGATTCACACCTTTCCTTTTAGCACGTAAGTGAATGTAATAGTTTCGACTGGAATTCGAACTCGGCTCTCCAATTCCTCAATCCAAGCCGCTATCTATTACTCCACCATGCCTCCTATATATTATATATATATATATATATTTCTATGATAGCTCTTTGCTTTCTACGTGTATCTGGAGATGCAGCCATTTTGAAAGATGATCATGGCTATGATAAGAGAAGGTAAATTTTTCCCTAGGGCTTTTTGACACTTTATGGCTTCCAGTTAAAAAATTACTCTTGTAATTTATAATTACATTTGTAAACAGTTTTCAGGATTATTTTCTTTATTGTCACTCAACTACAGATGTTCCAAGAATAGATTAAAAATAAGTAAAAATGAAACTCACCATGTAAGAAGAGTAGGCATGGTTAAACATCTCGACGACTTGATCCCTAAGAATGAAAGAAAAAAAAATATCAGAATAAATTCAAAAACGTATCCATTTGTTGAGATTTAAAGCCATAAGAAGCATTCAAAAAATCTAATTCACAATGTGCTCACACAAAAAAGTTAAACTGACATTTACGGTTTCTCAGTCCCCTGAATGAATTTCAACTCAGTCAGAACTGTGTTCATGTTGTTTTTACTTGAGGAATATTAAAACAAAATTTACACATTTCTAATTAAAAAATACGTATGTCTAGAAATCGCTGTCTTCAGTGAAAAACCAAAATTTCCAAAGAACTTAAATTTTTTATTTAACACATTTCAGCATAGTTTTGGGGATTTTCTGTGTCAAAAAGGGATTTGGTGGGGGGGGGGGTCAGTCTAGGTCATGATTTCTGAGAAATAAAAAAAATTGATGTCAAAAAATTACAGTTGATCTCTAGTATGTTGTACCAAAAGCAGGTAATGATCAATTTAACATATCAAAAAAACTGAGAATATTTTAAATATTTTCCTAAGATTCATTTTTTTTTTTTTTTTTTTTTTTTTTTTGCAGATTTAAATTTGGGAACTTAAACTAAAAAGGAGAAAGAAAATTGTCCTGAACTTTTTTTGTTAGAATTATTTAAAGTTGGGGAAAAAAGGGATCAGAGACAGAAGAGAAGACAAATTATGGCAAAAAATTGTGTTAATTTGACCAAATTCTGTGATAATTTGATACAAGTCATTTTTGAAAAAGAGTGTCAAGTTAAATCTTTCTATTACTTGCAACATTTATTTCAATGAGATTCCAGTTGTTTTCTAAGCAAAAAAAAAAAAAAAAAAAAAAAAAGAAAAGGCAATTATCCAAAAGTTATCATCTAAAAGTAAATGATTAAACATTTGCTAGTTTTTATTGCCTTTCAAACAATAATTTTATAAATACTTGAAATTAGGACTAATCTAAACCAGTTCTGAAACTGTGAAACTACTTTCAGACTATATATCTCAGATGTCAGCTGGGAACTGTTCCAAAAATGCCAAATGTCTGCTTTCAAACCCACTATGTAAGGATATTATTTCAGTCAGGTTTTAAGTGAAAAAAAGAAAAGAAAAAAGTCTTTTATGCCATTAAATATGGTATTTTTTTTTTCTGTGGTTCTTTAAAGACAACATTCTGATTTGTTTTTATTTCAAATTTTCATATCTGACAAATGTAGATCAATAAATCCATAGCTTAATACAGTTATTATTTGAATTTTGATCTGAAATTTTAATTGTATATTTGCAACTCTGATACTATTTACATGTGCCCCCCAACTTTGCCAATGTTAATACAGACCTCGTGCCACATTCAGAACATGTCGGTGTTCTGTAAAATATCAAGATAAGTTAAATGACAAGCTAACAGCAGTAGCAAAAAAAGACAAGCTTCAGTGAGTGCAGTCAAGCATGACAAACAGCAGCTGTACTCATCAGCAGACAGGTGAGGTTTAAGGCTCCAAGTTCTCTATACAAGACTGATTGATAAAGTGTTGGTTTGTGAATTTGGTGACAGTAATTGTGAGTTCAATCTCAGGGCTGAGCAATAGATGAGATATTCCTCGGTAGTAGAACAATCTACCCCTATAGATTAAATAAATAGTTCGGTTCAAAGCTACCTGTAGGTTAGCCAAATCGATAAACACATGATGAAGGCTGGAGACAACAGTCTGCATGTAAATAATATAAATGAAGATAATATTGAAAAATATTTGTTGCATTAAATAAATGCATTTTCATAATTAAACGATGGACTTATCTATGTATATACAATGAATATATTAAACTGATATACAAATTATTTACACTATTTATATTCATATTATTGTCTTCATCTTTGTTGTTGTTATCACAACATTTCAGCTGTTGTGTTTTACAGCCTTTCTCAGGTATGTGTGTGTATATATATATATATATATATATATATATATATATAATCTTAGTAACCTCCAGGGAATTCTGAACAGAACCCTTTATTTAATCCACGGAGGTAGACTATTCTCATTTCACTGTTTGACTGCATAGAGCTGCTAAGAAAAGTACTAATTCATTTTCAAACACATGACACTTGACTTTAATGTCCAGATTAACACAATAGTCAAACATATAATGGTAACTACCCCTGTCAGTGGCATGATATCTCTATAGTAAATGGCAGTCTACATTTTCATTGTCTAGAGATTCACATTCAACTCTGGTATCAGCAGAAACACTTTCCATTCATATATGACACTTAGTACTTTTCAGTTATTGCTTGCCTGTTTCCACTGAGTACACTGCCTGGCCCAGTGATTGAACTCACAACCACTATGATGACAAATTCCCAAACCAACAGTTTTATTCACTAGGCCATTTGCTGTAGTAAACTTAAATATAAACTGGTTGCTGATTAGTGTGCAACTGCTGCTGCCCATGTTTTGATTACTACTTCTGCGATTGAAGACTTGCTATCACTTGTCTTTTTTATTAGTGGATCTCATGGTATACAACTTGTATCCATAAAATTCTGCTAGTGGCATACAAAGAATTTTCTGTTTGGTTAGCAAGATAGTTCTGTAGCTATAGGCGTATGTGCTTATATTCAGTTTCTTTTATTTCTCTTATCTTCAATAGCAGTCATGGACAAACTTTTTCGGGAATTGTGCTTAATAATATATAACTCATCAAAGTAAAAAAGTCAAGGTAATTTTTTGCTGAAGGTATCTCAGCCATTTTCACTACAGAAGACCATACATGTAAGCATCTGCCTTAGAAATTGAGAAAAGTTTGTTTTTTTTTCTTTAGAGAAAATATTTTTCTATCATTAAAAATTGAAGTCTTGGTATAATATTATCACTTATGACAGTGAGGTTAACACATTGCCGTAAGCAATTTGCTTCTAGTCCCAGGTATGATGACAAACTACATCCGGCAACAAAGCCAGGAGATTTTGAGGAGCATGGAACTACCTCTTAACTGTTTTTCTCTGGTCCACCCTAACCTGGAATGGTAGCACCTGTTAGGATCCCAGCTATGGGTAAATAATGAACCCCCCAGACAAAGACAGAACACTATGAAAGTATAAAAATACATTTTTTATAGTAAAAATTACCAACAATATCTATTTAAAGCAAAATGGCCAACAATACATTTTATCTGTAGTTGAAGGCATACAACTGCGTTCAAAATATATTTAGTTGAAGCCATAAAACTGTGTTCAAAATATTTAGATTTCAATATTAAATGACCCATAGGGATGTTGATATGCCACTAAACAAAATGACTAACAATACATTATCTGTAGTTGGGGCATACAATTGTGTTCAATATATATTTAGTTGAAGTCATAAAATTGTATTCAAAATATTTACATTTCAGCATTAAATAACCCATAGAGATATTGATATACCGTTAAACAAAATCAACCAGTCAATTTGCTTTTAATTTATTCATTTAACTATATGAAGAATATATTGTTGAAAAAAAAAATTCCCTCAAGCGTAAAAAATTTTTATGAACATTTCCTGCTTCTAAAGCAAGTGGTTACACATATAATCTACCATAATAAAAGTTGTCAAAGGTTTAAAATGCTGAAAACATTACCTTCACCAAATTGCTAAAAAATTTCAAGAAATATTGGATTAATCCTTGTTTATATATCTAATGTGCATATGGCCAAATGGTTAAAACATTGGCTTTCCAACCATAAGACCCAGGTTCAAATCTCACAATGGTCAATTTGTCAAGAAGGTGACTTTCTGATTTTATTGGCTTGGGGTGGTGATACCAGCATGCAGCACCTTTGAAAGTTCCTGAAAGCAATATAACGGGTTGAACCAAGCTTTCTAAGTGAAATTGGGTAGCCAGACCTATTTGGGAGCCATCAATGTGTATCTAAAAAAAGAATACCCGCTCGGCCCGGTGGCTAGGATCAAAGTGTAGTATCTGTGCTTTGTGAGCTGCCGAGCCGGGTGTCTGTCGAACTCTCTGCTTGCAGAGAGGAACCCGGACGAAGCTCCGCCGAAGGGTGGGGTTTCGTTCGGGGAGGTTGACGGAACTAGCCCGCTTGGACGGGTTTAGATGGGTTTTATTTTTGGCTGGGCCTACGGGCTCAGACATACCCACATTAAAAAGGCCTTGTGCCACATTCAATTCCTGTGGGTGAATTGATAAATACCATCAATGATTGTGCCAGCATGAAGTCATTGGCCTTGTTCAGATTGTTGAACACACCAAATAATGTGCTCTTTCCCAGAAACTGTAACTAAGGCACACTCTGCATAGTATTAGAATAAACTATAGGTGGTTTCTGTGGGTGTTAAACAAACACAAATGTGCCTGAGCAGGCATCTGCTACAAGGATTGGTTAAATACCCTAGTAGACAGGCATACTCAGATATAAGAGTGGCCAGCTATTATAATACAAAAGAGTTGTCTTTTAAGTCAGCCATATCAACTCAGGGTTATTGGTTATTAATCTTGTAGTATTATAGTCAACTAGTAGATTTTATGCTCATTTAGATATTGACTTGTGCGGAATAGAATTCCACTCTCTTCAACCAGGTACAAATACCAAATTTGGTGTTCCAAGGAGATGCAACAAAGCACAAAAAGAAAATATGAGCAGTATCAGAATTTTTTTTTTTTTGCTTGTCACTTTTTCACTCATATTTCAAGTGATTAATCAGATTGGCTTGAAATCTGTCTTCTAATAAGACAACAGTGGGATTGAATACAAGAAAGTTTGAGTTCATGCTCTTTCCAGAAAGTGCCTTGTTAGTTCCCTTGAACATTTTGCACTCTGAGTAAAACTATAATCACTCATTTATTAGCAACCATTAATATAAAACAAGAGCTGTATGAGAAAATGTGAGTGAACAAGTAGAACAAAACAAGGTTTTAAGAAACATTATTTAGAAAGCCAAATGAGCCACAGTTCACTCTAATTGTTCTATAATAATAACACTAAACAAAAGTATATTTTAATTCACAGTTTAAAGTCTGT